ATAACTAATATCTGCTGGTTACTAGTGGCTGCTAGCTGCTGTTAAATTACTTATAGTAGATGCTGGGGTTACATATTCTATAGTAATATAATTAAAAATAGGTGTCCTTACATGCTGTAGGGGCATATTTATTAATACTATAGAGGTTTGCACTACCTACTAAATAATATGCTATAATGCCTATATTTAGGTAGATGAAAATAGTACTTCCTAAACCTCTTTAGTTTTAGTGGTCTGAGCTTATTATTTATCTAAGCATAATATACTAGGGTCTGCCATTCTAATTAGCAATACCTGCCCAGGCTAGATGGTTTTATATAGGTTGAAGGGTGACTTAGGCCCTAGTGGTAATTCACTAGATATAGTATTGTTATTAGATTAGGATTATTATGTTTTAACAGTAGGTGAGCAGTATGATAAAAAGGAGTCTTATAGTAGGTTAGGGGTAGATAGTGCTAGTACAGAGGCTAGTTCTGCCTAGAAGAAGGAGTGCTTTCTACTAAAATTTAGTTAGAAGTCTATAGTTATTAGCACCTTCCTTCTTAGGATGTTATGCCACGGTTAGGGTGCCTTAGGTATAGGCTTAGTATTAGATTAAAGGTTAGTGTGGGTATTAGTTAGAGGTTTAATAATAGTAATATTATTTATTTTAGTAAGGAAGTACTGTACTGCTATTTAAAATATCTATAGAGAATATAGCCAAGCTTCTAGATAGTATAGTGTAATGGGTTCTAAGGTGGCTTAGGTTTGCCCAGATTTAGCTAATAAAGCTCATTAAGGTAATGGATTAGGGTAGTAAGTGGTAATATAATATAGATAGCTTTTAAGGTTATGAGACTTTAACTAGTTTAGGAAGCTCTAGTAGTATGCTATGATTTTATATGCTGCCTTAATAACTTTATTAGGTAATTATTATAATATTTAGGTTTAGCCTTCCTAGCCTGCAAGAATCTCTTGTGGTTTAATGCTAAGGTGAGGTGGTTATACATTATAAAGAAAAAGTGTCAGGGGAAAAGATTTAATTCAGGGTCCTAGATCTCTTAAGATATGCTACTAATTATCATGGTAGATGTGCTCATATGGTATTACATTCATAATTAGGTTGTCCTCCCTAAGATACATAGCGGAGATCAGAGATGGAAGTAGGACCTTCCATCCACATGATACCATAGCTCATATGCTCTTAAACTAGCCATTTTTAAATACTTTAATTGCAATGGATATGCAATCTTCTAATTTATTAGTTAAATCTGCTTATTTTAAGGCCATATTTAATGAAGAATTGAACTTGATGATGATTTAGTGTGTTGTAAGATTCAGGGGGTGAGGCAGTGGCTCACTCAGTGTCATGGCTCACTCAGTGTCCAATTACATTATATTAATTAGTATATTATTATATAACTATAAGCTGGTGTCCCATTTAGACTAGAGTTGATTGATGACTAAGGCAGGTTGTGAGTGCTAGTAAGCTTAAGTAATCAGCAGGCCTTGCCTGCTACATCTAGCTTACTAAGATAGTTCTATAGAATCTAGGTATTATAATTATAAGCCTCCCAAAATATTAATCTTATATACTAACTTTAGATAACAGTAATAAGACTATCTAGACCTAAAGAAGTATACTAAAGAATTATAATATCTTGATTTAAAATAGTAGGTAATTAAAACCCTTACCTAGAAGGCTATAATTAAATATATTATATAAGATATTAGTTAAAGATACTATTATATAGGCTTATCTTATTACTACTCTCTCTAAGGAGATCTATACCTTAGCTACTATATAAACAGCCTATAAATAGTAATCTAGGGCCTCAAAATATTAGATATAGATAAGAGGTACTATATCTAGCTTAGGCCTATTATAAATAAAGAAGCTAAAGAAGAATTATAATAATATAAAAGAGAGGTTGAAGCTATATAAGATATAGTTTATAATAATAATAGAATTAATTAATTACATAGTTATTATTAAATAATTATTAAGTATTTATAATAATCTAGGAAGATAGGGTAGATCCTAGAGTTCTTATTATCTATAGGAAAATTATATAACTTTATAGTTTAAGGATATAATAAGGCTTTAAATATTATCTTATTAAATAGTGTAATATTAAGATAGCTCCTTATATTAAGATGGTGAGGTCCCCTTGCAAGTGACCCTGTAAACTAGGTGGAAGGGTTGGTTAGATGGTATTTTAAGTTTTTAACTATCTTAATTTACTTTACTATACAGAGTAAGGGTAGCATATTAGGTAAAATGATAATATACTAAATATTAATATCTACTATTCCTTGGTTTATTCTTATATACTGAAATAATATAGTGGTTAAGAAAGATAAGATTAAACATAGCTGAATTTTTAATATTTTAGTGTCTACAGACTTTTGACCTATTATGTAGTATGATGGGAACGATAGTTATTCTTCTAAACTACCTAGCTAAGGCAACCAGCATAGCAATATATGGGGTGCAATATGACATGGACATATTATAACAGGAACCTAGATGATAACTAATTATCAATCTAACTATAAATATGATAAATAATACCATACAATATTAGATGACTACCCTATAATGAAACAAGTAAAACTAGCCAGCAACTAACTTTTAAAGCTAAGAGGCTAATAGCTAACACACACATAGCTTCTAAAAAGCAATAGAACTGCGTGTTACCAATCCCAGGTCTCAATGCAGGCCACTCATTATGTCCTCATCTACATCCCAGCTGGAGACATCATCTTTGAATTTCATCCCAAACTTTCCAGAACTGAGCTCAGACGCATTCTTAGCCCTTCGGAGGAATTGGAGATGCTCACTGCTTAGCTCCAGATCACGGTTGCTCTGATCGAGATTACCAGCAAGCGTCGTCAGCAAAAGTCTCTCTGAATCCAGTAGAAATGCTATATGCTCTTCCCCAAAAGAGTTCGATGCTCCTCCAGCGTGAAAGTGAAGCATTGTGGGCTTGTGATTACTGCTCGAGTGTAAAAGAGTCGAGTCCAAGCCGGATATCACCATAGACGATATAGTTGTTTCAACCTCTGTGGAGGGGACCGGATTTGATGCTATTCGCTGCGCGATGTCTGCGATAGCCACGGCTGAGAATGTACTGCCTAGCTTCACCACAACAGACTTCCTGTGCTCATGAACGACCTGGAGAACTAGACCCATGTTGTTATCCTGGACTGTCTGTTAGAATAGAAAACATCAGACACGGGCTTTTCATCAGCTTACAGTGAGCCATATCGCCCGTCCAACGTCAACTTCGGCCCTGAGTCTCTCTGTGTCGTCATTTGCAAAGGCATCAGCCAGTGAGACATATGGCAATACCAATGACTGATAGACTTTCATCACATGCGGATTGACCATCTCAGGCGTTGATATAACCTGTTTATTGGAGGAAACCAGTAAGTTATACTCTCAATGGCATGCAGATTGTTGGCTCTTTTAAGACACACCTTTCCTTTCGCCAGTAGACTGACCAGAAGCCACTTCTTGTATGCCTCAACCATAATCTTACTGACAGTATTGGCGGCAGGGCAACTGATGACTATGCACAAGAGATGAAGCGCACTCTCCCACTCCTTGAGTGCCATGTATATCATCGCGCCATATAGAAAGTATTGCAGGTGGTCTTTATATGTCACCTGGGCAGTGAATCCGGAAGCATGGGTGATGTACGCCGCGCTTGACCCGTGCTCAGAGCAGAGGAGAAGCTGACGGTGCGCCTGATAAGCATGACTCGGACCTGCAGGAAAGTGACATATAGCCTTGTTTAGGACGGGCAATGCGTGCCTATACGATCTGCTGAGTAGGCAAAGTTTCATAAGAAGGAGATGCGTCGATGTGAAAGTCTCTGATGCCGGATCCAGTCGAAGTATTGCGTCTCTAACCGCTTGGACTGCTAGGAAAGTCTATGTTATTCCTGTCATGTTTAGCAAAAGAAGAAAGGGTCATGACTGGTGAATGAAAGCATTCGTCTTGCCTTTGAAGCAGCCTGCGCGGCGTGGGCTACAAACTCAATAAGCCGTCTCCATTCCTGGCCAGCGTAGCGAACTTGAATTGGGTCGAACACCTTCAGAAACTCAATAGCCCTTTTCCACAAGTCACCCCCGGGCTGGACATCCTCTGGCAAACCTTGGTTGTACCTGTCGCCCAAGACCTTGACTCGAGCATGAAAAACGAAGAGATAGGCCACCGAATGCAGAGATGGATTGAGACCCTGTAGCGGTTTGCCTGGGGTGTAAGCGAGCGACGACACCGGTCATATTGACAATGGCATCACAACAGGACATGGTTTTGCATCTGCTTACATCCAGCAATAGATCAGCACTCCTTGTGATCTCGTTAAGCCTTGTAGGTTGCTTTAAATAGGCAATGAGCTCGTAAAGTTCGCGATCATAGTCTTCCTCGTTCGAGGCATGCTGGAGGGATGACACCACAGTGAGGCGCGACAGTATCTCTGTCATCTTTCAACACATCTGATCACCGTTCACAGATTGGGGACAAGAACGATAATCAGGCTCTCTAGGTGTAAGGGAAATCAGAATGGGTGGGTCTCAGGTGGCATCAGCGTAGCTTGCGAAAAGGTAGTGACACAGTTGTCATACCAAGTGAGTGAAGTATTCACTCCACCAAACCATGATACATGATAAGTGATCATGACCCTTCTGGGGTGGTTCTTGCAGTACTTGGTGTTATGTCAACACATCTGATAACAGCTACTGTACTATATAACATGTGATATAACTATACTGCAGGCCTCGAGGCAATTTACGTCGTTTACTTGTACTCGTGAATTTCTTGTTGATACTATAGTCAATCTTAATACTCTCTATGGAGTAATTAGTTTTAGCGCAAGAACTTATTCCGAAATCCACCTCTCTTACCTCTAGGGCAGTCTGACATCAACCGGGTTAATTATGTATATATCAATAATAAGCCGTCGGATGAAAGGTATCTTGAATTATATATTTCAGCTAGTCGATAGGTACCTAGCACACAAAAGGTATCAGGAATTAGACGTGCCTTGTCAGTTATCACTCTAGACAGCGGGCATTTCCCTGCCCCACATCTGTCGTAGTAGCCCAAGGATCATTTTGACATCTGAGTCATAGTAGTGTTGGGGCTATTGTCTATCTAACTGTCCCCTTGCTACGGCTTAATTTCTTTCTTTTGTGCTACACGTCAAAGGTTCTCGCAATGTCGCTCACCGACTCCTCCGCAGTTGATATCGCGAGGACTGCGTCCTTAGCCTCTCGTCAACTCGCAACTTTGCCCACAATTGACCGCAACGATGCGTTGACAGCGCTTCACGATGCTCTATCGAGAAATCGAGAAATCATCCTTGATGCCAACGCAAAGGATGTTGCGATAGCAAGCCAAGCGGCTAATAATGGCAGCCTCAGCCACAGTGTCCTCAAGAGGCTCGACCTGTCGAGACCTGGGAAATATGATGACATGCTAAAGGGGATTCTTAGTGTACGGGATCTGGAAGACCCAGGTGTGTACATGAATTGGCCGAATACACATGATACTAATCAGTCTATCAGTGGGGAGAGTGACCCTAAGGAAGCTACTGGATGATGGTCTCATCCTGGAGAGAGTGAGCTGTCCTATTGGTGTCTTGCTGATAATATTCGAGGCCCGTCCCGAGGTGATCGCGAATATCGCGGCACTATCAATAAAATCAGGAAATGCTGCCATTCTGAAAGGTACTTGTGCATGACCGATAGCGGATTCCACATTGCTGACTTAAGTGAAGGAGGGAAGGAGTCGACTGAGTCCTTCATCGCCATATCAAAAGTGATATCTGAAGCGATCTCGGGAACACACGTACCCGAGGCATCAGTCCAGCTCGTTAAAACCAGAGACGTTGTTTCGTCACTTCTAGCGCAGGATTCCTTGATTGACCTGGTCATACCCCGTGGTTCCAACGACCTTGTCCGATTTGTCAAGGAGAACACCAAGATTCCGGTTCTCGGCCACGCTGATGGTCTTTGTTCTGCATATCTCCATGCTGATGCAGACCCAGCAATTGCTGTCAAAGTCATCGTTGATGCTAAAACAGATTATCCAGCTGCTTGCAATTCGTTGGAGTCTTTGTTGGTCCATGAAGATGCCCTTGGAACAATATTCCCCGGTGTCGCTGAGGCCCTTCTGGCCAAGGGAGTCCGTCTTCGTTGCGACATTCAATCAAAATCTGCTCTCTTGAAAAGTATATCCTCCCCACCCGCAGATTTACTAGAAGATGCAGTCGACTCGGATTTCGACACTGAATTTTTAGATCTTGTCCTAGCTGTCAAGACCATTCCTTCAACATCTTCACCAATCTCAGCTGTCGAGAATGCGATTTCTCATATCAACTCACATTCGTCGAAACACACAGACCTAATTGTGACAGAGTCGAAAGAGATTGCCGAATATTTCATGAGTGGTGTGGATAGCGCTGGGGTCTTCTGGAATGCATCGACTAGATTCGCAGATGGAATGAGGTTCGGATTTGGCACTGAGGTTGGCATCAGTACGAATAAAATCCATACGCGAGGGCCCGTGGGTTTAGATGGATTGACCATCTACAAGTATCTGCTCAGGGGTCAGGGACACAGGGCAGGAGATTATTTTGAAGGAGAGGGAGGTAAAAAGTGGAAACATGAGAATCTAGCTATTTAGTGGCTTCATTTATGAATGATTTGCGATCTCGACCGGCACAATAAGAATTCATTCCTTTCATTGTAGTTTACTCTAGGCCCAGCGTATCCGGAAATTCCAGATTCAACAGCGCGAGCTTTGCGGTCACATTTCCTACTCAGTTAGAAGCTCCTCCACATCTGATAGCAAGAAAGCAAGAGCCCTTGTGCAAGTACTTTTGGCAACAGGTTTATGTGACAACACCAACTCAACCCAAGGGACATCGTCGAACTCCTTGAGATGCCTGCTTAAACCTTGAAGCCACGAGACCTTCTACGTCCACGAGCTCTCTCGAATTTCCGACCCTTGCTTCGAACGTAAGGTTTCTAATTCAAGTATAAGTATGACTGTGTTAACACAAGATAGCAAGGTACCGGCTCACCTTGTGGCTGTGGGGTCCGAAGCCGAAGTGCTTGACAGCTTCACGAGCGTTCTTGGGGCCACGGAGGAGGAGAGTGTTGGCTCCAGTAGGTGCCCGAAGTGCGAGCTGATCCAAAGTCAGAGTCTCGCCCCCAGCCTTCTCAATCCTGGCTCTCGCAGTAGCGGTGAATCGCAACGCGGCCACAGAGAGCTTCGGAACGGTGAGAAGACGATTGTCATCAGTAACGGTTCCAATCACGACAATGGTCTTGCCCTTGTGAGAATCGGTGACATTGGAAACGAGTCGCGAAAGGGAGACGGGAGGGCGGTTGATTCTCGACATAAAAAGGCGGCGCAGCACAACTTTGTTGAAGTTGGACTCCGTGCGGCCTAGCAGAACAGAGAACTCAAATCAGCCTCCAATTTTAACCACCTCTATAAGTCAGGAATTCAAGAAACTATCATACGGGCGAGAAAGCGGTAGAGCTTCACAAGGACCTGCAGGTAGACATTTTCGCTCTTCGGCGCCTTGCGGTGGGTGCTGCGCACATGGTGACGGTCCAGGTCGATACCTGAAGTGATACAACTGTTAGCCTTTAAATCTCCCTGTCTTTTATGGGCGTTGATAACCGGAACAGTTTAAACGCATGTAATCTTGAGGTTTGAACAGATATACATACCCATGGCTGCTGTATTTGATAGGACACCTTGGGTGTTGGCTTGCTGTCGCGCCCGTATACAATGTAAATCTGTTGAGGTTTTTGATCTATGATTTTCAGATAGACGGTGTGTGCGGGTTGAGCCCTATACTAGTACAAATCTAGAAATTAGAGCTCGTGACCTACAACTAGTGGGTCCCACTCTATTAATGCCCTTAGAGTAACTAGAGGTATTATCCGGTGACTAAATAACTGACTACATAATTTTAACTTACCTAGTAACTTACGTTACGTACTATATAGAGAGGTACACAGTATCTTATGGACAGTACAGAGTAGAAAATCTCTAATATTTTTATTATTTTTCTGTTTGTGAGGCGTGCATTCCACTAGTGTGCTGTTGTTCTCCTTCCGTCCATTAATCTGTCCTTTCCTACTACCTTCCATCTAGCCTAGTGTGATTCTGCTGCGCATGTTTTACATTACATACCCTCAAGATTTCTTGATTCAGGCCAGTGTATTCTAGCTGAACACTGTAGTCTACAAAATAAAGAGACCAGAGTGCGTTTTATGTCTACCATAAAAATGCTCCCATGTCATTGGATCCTAAGACCCGTCTAGACCACATTAAGAGCCAAGGCTATGTAGGATCAACAATCATTTTGGAGCATATAATAAACTTGGCATTCAGCTAGCTATACAGAGCATTATCAGAGCAACAGACAGCTTGGTATGACGGTATTTAACTCTATATGTAAGCAATGGTGCCTGTGTGACTTAAGTTACTAACTGTGTGACTAATGTTTCTATGTGCGCTCGGGAGGTAAAACAAGTGGTAAAATTGAAGGTAGAGGCCTGATGGAAATAGCTTAGGAACATGCTCACTTCCTGAGTACATGTTTACATAATTTATAATGCTGAGCCATATACACTCTTTCAAAAGAAAATCATCTACTTCCTATGTGTGTACAAGGGCCAGAGCAAGAGAATGCTCGGAGTGTAAAGTCCGGTTTGGCAAGGCCTTACCCGTCCCCAAATTGATGGTAAGGAAGTAATATCATTCATCAAGAAACTAACAATACAGAGATATCAGTCCGAAAGAGTAGCAAGGAAGATCTCCCATTCCTGGCGACGCTGTTGATATCATGCCATCCTCCATCTACCCCCGGGGTTACGCCCCGAGGCAGACATTGGTATCTCCGCTCAAGCCTGGACATCCTTCAAGTAATCCTCTATACCTATTGGTGCTTGGAGTGAACATTATCATTCTTGACCTTCCCATCCTTCACGGCCTTCAAAACATCCTTGCCGCCTGGAATCGCAACCGCTAGTAGTCTGGTTTTCAACTCGTCGCTGTGTGAATCACACGATTTGCCGTTCTGTTTGTCCTCGTGGACTCTCGATAGCATGATCTTCATTCTACAGAGGCACATTGTCTGCATTTTCTGACCATCCCCCTTTTTTTTCGTTCCTGTTTGAGAGGCAAAGATTGTAGCGTAGCCTCATCATCTGCCATGCATGAATCCTTGAGTTGGGGGTCATTGAGATTGTCTATGCCTTTTCAGTCTGCTTATTGCACATCTCGTTGCAATCCTTTTTCTTAGGGAATTGTCCATCCAATGTCATTGCCACTTGTCTGCAGTAGAGAGCGTTCGACCGCCAGCAGCGGTGATAGCTGCTATCCCAAGTGCTTTAAACGAGACCATTTTCTATAAAAAGGTTCAGCGTCATTATATGGTTATAGGTGGAATATACCATTTAAGAATGTAATCAAGTGTGTTAGTCAACAATAGATGTTTGGCTATTTGAAATAGTAGAGAGATGGCTCTTAGATGAATAGGTGCTCTTTATATATGGTCCTTACACGATTCATAGCAAGGGACAAGCGGAGCCTGTGACTAGCCCTAAATACTTCTGATATGAGACAGTTTCTCCTAGTAGTATCAGAAAAGTTCAATAAACCCCAATCCTGAAGGACCTGAGGCAATGATGAGATCCATCCCTCTATGGACATATGTATATCCAATCCTTTAGATGCACACCTGGGCTTATATTGACCCATTGGAAGTGTACAAGAGGTATGCTTGTCTATTAAATCCACCCCTGGGCTTAAACTAACCGGCTGGGAATGCATGCTCGTGTATTTACAGGGGCGGTGCAAGAGAATACCAATGGTGTAAAGTCTGGCTTGGTGCGGTTTTAAGAGTACGTATTTATATAATTCGTGGGAATCCTTAGTCACTGGATATCATCATATAAGGGAGACACATACTACCTTACCTGCATCATATCCTAGAAAGTGAAATAGTAGCGCCTACTAATTCAGGTTATACTTACATCAGTATATATTATTGCTTGTTAAAACCAGTTACCTCTGTTTAACCCTCCAATGAAACTTTCCCAGCCTACTATGATTATTATAAATATCAAGAAAATGACTGTCAGCTAACGACTTTCATGAAGACAATGATCATGATTATTTCTCATCGCTAAATCCAACAAGAAAGTCCCTTGTCAACTCAAAGCTGAGCCAACTGCTGGCCATACTCGGAGCAACTTTCAAAAGGTTAGGCACTATTCCTCTGAAAAATCCGCGCAGGCCTTCCTCCGCCATGATAACCCTCACAGCGTCCCAAATTGATTTATATCGATAGCCCATTCCCGACATCGTGTTTATTTGGAAACGACGTCGCAAGACATCACTATGACCGTATTAGTTCGCGACTACCATAATGGAAAAGCAATGTCTCCTTAAATACTTACAATGGGTATGTGCAGGTCTGAGCTACAGCCCCTGAGATAGCACCTGCTAATAGCTTGCGCCAGGGACTGGGATTCTTATCCCCATCAGGAGTCAAATATTTGCGAACAGACTCATATGTCATGAAATTGAGGCCCACCTAATCTCGTAAGCACCTGTTCATCAATCTTCGGGTTTCACTTACATATGGAGCAACGCCAGCGACTGTGGGGACAATACCGCGATAGAGGGCAACAAAACCACCCTCATTCTTATAGATCAAAACCATAGTTGTGAACATTCCAGGCAGTTGTTCGGCAGTACCTCTCTGACTGAGAGCAGCGAAAGATGCTGACTGAATAGAGAGTCGCGTTCGGACGATGTCGAGAGGGTATGTGATGGTGACCGAAGTGATGCCAGCAGCTCCTCCACATAGTAAGCGCCGGATTGGCGACAGCTCAGCATCTGGAAAAGGTTCCGCGAACTGGAAAAGATAAAGGTCAGTATCTAGGCCACAACTAATTTATCCTGCTATCAATCCTTGAGATCTACCTTTTTGTAGAAGTTGTAGCTCCCGAACTGGACGGCTGAATAGGGTATTATGCGAATGCAGTTTGTGCCGTTACCACGCATGAAGCCTCTCCAGCCTTCCTCTTTTCCAATCTTCACGAGAGCCCTCCATATGGATAATTTATATTCCTCTCTGCCCACAGTCTGAATCTGAAGCAAGATTTTGAGGCGTTCGAGTGGTGATACGATCGTCCTAGATACAGCACCGGCTACCCCTCCAGCAATGAATGCTGCAATAACGGGGTCGGATATCCTTTCTTTGGTTTTGGTCAAAACCGGTGTGCTCCTCAGTGGTGGTGCCTGAAAACAGATGTTAGCGGTGGAGAGGTATGGGAGCTGTAGCAGTGCTTTAACTCACATTGACGGGACCCGAGGGTGACAATTGACAGAGATCGGACGACTCGGTATCCCCAGACGTTTTGACGTCAGCATCTCGCCTGCGTTGATCCCGATCTAAGCTCATTTTATCACAGTAAGGTCAGTTTTCGAGTCCGTAGCCACAGATGGCTCGTGGTAAAAGCGAAGTGTCTCGACTTTTACGCGCCGTCTGTCCCAGTCCTGGCGCACCGTCTAAATAGAGGGTTTATCCTTTGAAATGAACGATCGACATTTAAAGTGGACGACAAACACCGAGAAATATAAAGATATCAGGAAATGGCAGAGAATGAAGTCCAAGAGAGTCGGAAAGGGCACAGGTGCAACTATAGTCAGATGCTGCTAAGATCCTCAAATTCTGAACTGCAGGCTGATCAAGTCTCTTCAAGCTTTTCATTTAGCTAAAGCAGCATGAATGCCGCGGAGAAGGACGCAAACCTGCCGTGAGGGAAGAATGAATTATAAAACCTCAACTCCAAATGAAGCCGACGCGAATTGTACTGAGGCATTAGAGGCGCTGATATTAAGGTTGAATCAACTAAAACACTTGCCCTCATTCCCACTAGTGAGATAGATTCCTTCTGTAGACCTGTTGATACAGACCTCAAAAAGGCTCAGATCCTCTGAATACCCCATGCACAACTACTAGATATAATAGAACCCACACGAGAAGTAAGATACCTTGATTATGTCAGGTTTACCTCTCTTTATAGTTAATAGGGTGCTTTGCTGTGTCAACCTGTTACTATCAAAGCAAAACCTCATGGGTGATTTCTGTAATGGCGGCCTAAGGCTACAATCCCACCGGAAATTTACATCATCGGGTAAGCGAGTACCTTCGAATGACTTCTACAGAAGCTACTCCGTATTCCAGCCCTCTCGCGAAGTATCGGACTTGATCTACGATCACAGTGACCTGGGACAGCTGTCCATCACGCTTGATATCCGTTCAGATGGTGCCGGCCGGACCTAAGTGGCCGGTTCAGGTTTCCTATCACCATCGCCAATTGGCCATTGTACCTGTAGTCTACTTCGTACGGCTTGTTAAATACTTAGGTTGTTCTAGGTTAGTTAGTCGTCGCCTAAAGTTCAAGAGTCGCAAAGTTGCATGATCATACTACCTCAAAGTAGGAGCATAGTCCGGACCAAGATATATACTTGTAAACTTCGAAATATGAGAAGATTGGATTGTGCGTTTTACTGGAGGTACTTGAAATCTGAGTGTATCCATAAGTAGTCCAGAAGGTATGGCGCGTTTCGCTTGTGGCATATCCACCTCGCCGTAGTTCCTTTTTCATCTTGTACTTCCCTCATTACAACTTTCAACTACCACCACTTTCTGGCACTTCTCCGTGGTCAATTTGTTCTTCCACGAATCTTCCCAACGTGAATCTAGCTAGCTCAGAGTTGAGCAACTGGAACTCTATAAAGAATAACTTCGTTCAACATTATCAAAAGATGTCTCGCCCAGGCACCACCCTTTATGTCACCGGTTTCGGGCATGGAACCCGGGCTCGCGATCTCGCATACGAATTCGAACGGTATGTGTCGCTCATCGATTGCTACACACTCTGAGAAACTTGCGATCTCCGTACCCACCTTCGCACTTCATTCAGTGAAGTCCGGCGCATTTGAGACTCAGGCTTCTACATCATGAGAGTAGAAAAAGCGGCTTTTCCTCTTTTACGATTCGTCGTTGCTACTCCCCCCCGTTCAACTTCCTGCTGACTAGACAAACACTCCGCTTCGTACTCTTTCACCTGCCCCTAACCTGCCTTGTTAGTTATTCCATGACGTATCCGGAGCTAATACTTTCACAGATATGGACGCCTCGTTCGGTGCGATATCCCAGCACCGCGTACTCCGTCTAGCAGACTGTACGTTTCCAATCGGTTTTCATACTTATTCATGGTTCTGATGAGGCTAGTTTTGCTTTCGTCGAGTACGAGAGCCGCCGTGATGCGGACGATGCATATCACGAGATGCACAATAAGCGGATCGGCCGCGATGATCTGCTCAAGATAGAGGTACGTTTCTTAGCTGTCTGCCATTGTCCCCTCAGACTAATTTCTCCTTAGTGGGCCCGTACTCCTCCGTCTGCCTCCTGGCGCTTTGAATCCGGACGTGACCGACGTCGTGACCGTACTCCCCCTCGTCGAGGTCGCTCTCCATCTCCTCGTCGTAGTCGAGGTGATTATTCCCCTCGCAAGGATGAAAGATACGAGAGAGACTATGACCGACATGACCGGGACTATGACCGTCGCGACCGAGACTATGACCGCCGTGACCGAGACTATGACCGTCGCGATAGGGACCGAGAACGCTCTCGTGACCGTTCGCGAAGCCCTGATGAAAGGGACCGTGATGTCAAGGAGGACAGAGAACGTCGTGATGACGAGAGAGAGCGCCGTGAAGAAGATCGCGAAAACGGCCCGAACGGTGAAGACAGGAAAGGTACATTACTTTCAGTCCATCAGGGGACAAAGATGAGTTCTGCAGCTAACTCTGGCAGCACCCCTGGACCCTCTGACTTCGGCTCATGACGAGCTAGATACTGCCGAGTAGGTTGACCCCTCGGTGCTCATGGGATAGCTATTGGACAGCTTGCGATCACCGATTAGAGACAAGAAAGAACCGCGACGGCATCAATGTTTCGTTCAAGATATGGTTATCGAGAGCGTGGCGACACTGGTTTGAGTCAGGTTTCCGATCCGGTAATGGTAATAGACACCGGTTCACTGGGTAACTTTCTTTTCCTACGTTCTGTTTACGTTCGCATGCCTTTCGCTCTTACCTCTTTATACCTTTGTTCTTTCTCTTTTCCTTGCTTTTCTTTCTTGTTTTTGCTTGTTCCCCAATTCATGTTCTCTTCGTGACCAACAGAGAACCAGAAGCGAAGGACCATGTAGAGATTTTTGGAAGCAAAACCAACCAGACGATGCGAAGGAAAGGGAAGATATGGACAGCTGGTCGTTCATGGTTGCTTTGCTCTCTGTGTGCTCTCTGCTCTTCCCCATCTCCATCTCTGATTTCCTTATCATTTTCCTTTTATCTCCCCTCCTATTTTCGGATCATGGCTTGTGTTCGTTTGTTCATCGATTGGTATTTATTGTGGTCAGCAGCTCGAATCATTTCCGACCCGGACGTCGAGCGATCGTTGATTCTACTTGCGCCAATTTAGTCGTCCCTACGTGTGTCCCCGATATCCGCGTTCATCGTCCGTCTTGATCGCATTCTAATAGGAGAACGATTGCCATCCTTTCACCGTCCATCACGAACGGCTAAGCTTCGCGAGATCCTTTTCGTCGATCTGTCGTTTCGGCTACCGACTCATGATGTCATAGTCCAGTAGAAGTAGCCGTAAGTACCAACTCCTGTATGGAAACAGTGTATCATAAAATGGATGTTTGACATTTTCGATGCTTCATCATCCACAATGCTCCATACGGGTCGTTCTTAGTGTCTGTAGCATGAGAAGTGACATCTCGAGCTCATGCCGAAAGGCGCCACGTACACCCAGTCCCTCCCTTTTCCACAGATATATGAAAGTGAGGCTTGGGGTTTGTCAACACCGGCATGGCTTGATCGTCGGTCAATGGCTTAGTTCCTACTTGTTCCTAGTCGTTCTCGATCCGTTACATGATTCTCGGCTCCTGAAAGTTCAAGGCTGATTTGGCAGGTCCGTTTCCTTGTCGAAATGGGCGAAACCCCTGCCACCGTACGCATTATCACTTTTCCAGTGGAGCCAGATATCTCCTGGTGATCGCAATGAGATAGAACCGTCTATTTTGGGGACACACCTCTCTACTTTAGAGAGGCAACCCCCTGTTTTGAATATTTCGCAGGAGAAGCCTGTGACTGCCTCGACTATACGAGAGTTAAACCCGAGGGCCTACGGCATGATGGTAGGCATTACATGATTAGATAGCTTCATAATACTAGGAAATTGCTTATCTTGTAAGAAATAGCTCTTTCTAATCCATATACTTTGTTGCACTAGGAATCACACAGATAATCAGAGCAGGGGACATCACAATGGTGACTATAATTATATGTACAGTTAGTAGCTGAGTAAGCACAGCTTATAGAGAATTAATGTGTACAAATAGTATAGTCTAGTTAGCTGTGTGGTTAAACGCTATTGAAAATCTAACATGTTAAATGTGCCTATTGCATGGGTATCCTATGTTGCTACCTAGTATGGGAATCAGAATACTTGGGATCCATACAGGATATATAATGCCTAGTCTTGCCATTTGCATCAGGGGAGTGTTGCTAATAAAGAGTGGTTTATCAGTAAGATTGGGTGGTGTGGCCCTCTTTACTAACATCTTCCAACATCCTCCTTGCTGGCTGGTTTGCCCAGGATATTAATTTTTATATATATTGCCTAATTATAATAGTGAATGCATGTAACCACTTTCTAGCCAGGCATGAAAGATCACTGGATAGGTAGTTCTACGTCATATATGAAACCCTTAATATTAATATTCTATTAATAAGTTACTTGCAATTATCCATTTTTGAGCCATTATATTTATATTAATAACGCTTAAAGTAACCTAGTCTACCTCATGGTATAGGTCTCTTTATTCACCAGTAAGGTTCATATTCGCAATGCAGGCCCTTAAGATATGAATAATCCTTAAGACTGCTGTCAGATTAGGCAACCATTATCATAAAAGAACCATCATTACATAACGTGGTTCGAAGAGCTAATTTTGCATCTAATATCATAATCCTTGTAGAACTTAGAGCCGAGGTAGCCAATGCATCTCAAAGTGGATACATTATGAAGTACAAGATAAAGGTGGCTTGAAATATCCGAGTTTCTGGCGAACCAGGGACAGAAACATGTTTCATGTTATGTCTCAGCTGCAACAAAATTGTACGGAGCTGATCATTGCATCTTCTCGTATGTGGCCATCAGAGAACCTATTTGGATGAGTTAGTAGGTATGATCTGTGTGGAGAATAACCCAACTTACCAATAAATGTAGTGACCAAGCGAGACCGCACTTGACAAATATCCTCAGGAACCAACCAGATAGTCGCGCCTAGCTTTCTTGCTATGCTAATGCTCAATTTAGCATTAGCGTACGCTTCCTCGTCTGATCGGCCGGGCGTGACGAGGTCGTAGTCAACATAGCTACTCTTCATCCCGTTCAGAACATCAAGAAGGAAAAGTCCCGTGCCGATGGTTTGGTCCTTAAAGCTGCGTATTGACGAAGTTCTGCCTCCTTTGCGGGACATGTCGTTTGCCCACCGGATCATCTCGGCATCGGTGATCTCACGCTTGCCCATTCGCTGCGCGAGGCTAGACAAGGTGTTTGTTATATCTCTCCGCATCAATTGCCAAACTAGTCCCAGCGTAAGTGTACGTTGTCCATCGGTAATGTCCGCACCCTGTACTCCTACAAGGGAGAACCCGATGTGCTTTCCAAGTTCGATTGCATAGTTGGTGTTTTCCACAGCTTTGAACCGCATCATCTCGCCGCCAGAACTAGGCGGTTTGTTAACATGTCTCCAGTTGACACTGCCAGGGATCACTTTGTCGTAGGCTTGAAGTAGAATGGTACCATCTCGAAGATCATCGAACAACGAGTTGACGGGGGCTGGACATCGAGCGAGTTCAACCACAAGGTGAACACTCTAGCTTCTCTTTCTCCTTCTGCGTCGAAATCCTCAACCTCGAGTTTCTCCTCCTCAGTTATTGGGTCGAGACCAGGAATCGTGTTGAACAGATTGGCAACAAATGCAAGGTTAAGTTTGGGGTTTCCAGCAACAAGAGATGAAGGAGTCAGGAATTTTCGACAGTTTAGTTTTTCTGCATTTGCCAGAACTTGCTCTGCTCGCTCAAGTAGGTCTCGAGTCTCAAGCGGAGCTCTCGAGCACAGATTGGGAGCCAGCTGACTCAAGAGGACAGCGTAATTTTCACCGTTTTTGACATCGGTGGAAAAATTCGTCACCCTGAAACAGGTCAGCTAGCTGCATTGTTTCGCAGGAAATTGCCATATTGCAAGCGGCCCAACCTACCTCTTGTCCCACTTTGCATTCTTCAGATGATAGTTGAACCAACGCAACAAGATTTGCTCTGGAGGGAGGCGCAAGAACTGGTCTAGCGTTTCGTCGTCCTCCAGAAGCCGATAGAGTTCGGGATGAAGCTTGATGTCAATCTTGCCCAAAAGCCCGCGCCGGATAATTTGCCAAATCAAGCCCAAGATCAGGTGCTCGCGTACCTCTATGATGTCGCCGCTTCCAATGTTAACCACAGAGCACCCAATTCCCTTGGCCGAATTGATCACAATGTTATTATTTTCAGTCATATGGAATGCATTTAATTCCTTGATCTTTCTCCCAGGCTTATTCAGGACACGCTCATCAATGGTATCTGGGACGCTGTCATTGATAAGTTTTGCTAGGACCAATCCGTCCTTGCATTTATCAAACATCTCAAAAGTGTCAGTGGGGAATGGTAGCAGATGGCCAATATCGGGATCCCCAGCAAGGACAGCATTGATGTGTCTGGTGAACTCAGTTCTCTCATCTTCATTGATAGTATGAGTGACGTTGGCGGAAGAGCCCTGAACGTGAATTCGCCCCCCTACGCTGCCTTTGGAGACGTGTCGAGACACACCCATTCCAATCTCGGGTATCCCTGGAGCCGCACTCGGGCCGGCAGTTGCTCTATTTTGCGCTGGAGTAGAGCGGAGTCTTGAAATGAGCTGTGGAATACGTTTTTAGCTTCTCATGGTCCCAGTAGCGATGAAGATACAAACACGAACATCTACATAATCTTCGAGCTCGACTCGACGAGAGCTGTCGAGATCGACTTCCTTCAAAGCCTGGCGCACGACGTCGTACGGCTGACGTTCGGACTGCTGGGTGGCCTTGATCACAGTAGCCTCGTCCAGATACCCCTTATCGTCAACATCCAATTTTCTGAATGCATCCTGAAGGGAGAAAATTTCACTTTGGTCAAAGTGTGGATATTTCCTAGAGGTGACCCATGTGAGAAAGTCTCAAAACAAGACGCTGTGTGAAGGTTTTCTGTTGAGAAGAACGGCGAGGCACATAATAAACAAGAGAGATTAAATACGAACCTCTGAAGCTTGAGAACGTTCATCTTCTCGATGAGCCGATATGCTCGTCCTGTGGATGGGAGCCTTAAGAAGACCAGAATAGATCTGGCCCCGAGATGAGTTCAAGAAAGGATGTGAAGACGGCAACGGAATGAGAACGAGAGTATAAAGTGGAAGAAGGCAATCAGGACAAGAGAGTAGCAAGGATGAAGTTTTCTCATCCAGCCGCGAGACTATCGCAAAAATCGGGGCGGTCGAGCTGAGCGTTGCGTGGTTTCAGGCAGCCGGTAAAGAGTGACAATGAGTAAAGCTACCTAATCTCCGGATACCCCTGGAACTGGAAGCGGGATGTTGAGAAGCGGGGTGGGGTTGTGGCTTATGGAAACATCTACGGATTACGCAGTACTTGAGGCAACGACAACAACATCAACGCGCTTCAAATTATATAGGAGGTTGATACTGGTGAGCGATTGACCACTGACTAATTACTAGGCGGATAGAGCAAGAAGTTAAGATTCACTTCAAAAGTTCGAGCCTCTCCCTCGAGACTATCATGCATTTTTGTTTGTTGCTAATGACTATTTCGTACTGGCGACGTCATCACATGACCGGTCAAACAATGACGCATGAAGTGGGCTTCTGTTACTACCCGATGTGTGAGGGGTACCATACAGTTGTAATCTTACGAAAGGGGGCTTTGGTGATCTTCCATGGTGGCCATGGTCTCTTATTTTATCAGTATTAATATACAGCCCTGTTAACCTACCTAAGGTACCTTACCTTAGGCTCCTACAGATAATCTGTGTTAATTGTTTTCAGGTGCGCTATAGGTAAACTCTTTGCTGATATTTTACCATGCGTGCGGGCTATACATTTAGATTCACGCATTGGTAATTCAGCTTATACCTCTCTACTTTGAATATCGATTTCTTTTCTGAGACGATCCGATGATTTCATAGACACACACCATCAAGAGGGCGCCATCTTGGCACTTCAGCCATTACTAGACTCCATGTGTTTTTTCCCCCCACATCAAAGATAACATACCTTAGTGACTGCTCTTTTTCCAGTGCAGCCATTGTAATTATATTGCGCCGTTTGGCTTGCCGAAGAAGCTCCCGTACCAATATCTGACCCTAACACTCTTAATCATCGAGACGGGGGCATCTAGTGCCATCTCATTCTGCGTCTTTATCCTCTCATACAAACCAAGGTTTTTGAGTAGTATTACGACCGCCTTGGCCCGCACATTTATCTTTCGGGGTCTTCAGGGCTCCATGTCCAGGGAAAGTCAGAGAGGGTCCTTTCTGGGAGCCATCTCTTCCTGGAATGCATCAAGAAACACCAAGACTCCCCCCAACACCGATGGATCAGACGTTCTTCCTAGATCTCAAGGCGAAGATCATACAATCACACACAGGCATAGACTTAGCTTGCGCCACTACCCTCCGGATTGTCCCCCGCTGAGGGTGAGGTGGTTTTACGCTGTTGACTCTCCAAAACGGAAACCACTACTCTCAGAACACCAGAAGGAAGAACCGAAACCCCTACCTGCGCCCAAGAAGTTTGTCCCATTTTCGTCGAAAGATTCCCAGGCCATTGAGTCCACTTTCCAAAAGCTCTCGGACGTTGAGATTGCTCAAGAACAAACACGAAAGAGTGAATCGCTTCGCGAAACAAGGAAAGGGTTATTTACGGTGCCTGTCAATGAGGACAACCTATTTGACGTGGACATCGAACGAAGGGAGCTCACACCGGCGTACTGGATAGGTCCCACCTATGAAGTGCGCCGGGGTACGTGGTTCTTCCAAGAGGGGTTCAAGCCGTGCGAAGAAAACCTGGCCACGCAGCTTGAGGAAGGATATCTCAAACTTAAGCCATGGCGCCTGGAAAATGACCAAAGCAAACTCTCGCAGACCGTTGCAAACCCAACCTCCCAGCATGCAGATAGATCAGATGTGAACAAGTCTGGGTTGCAATGCACACCCGAACCAGAGCTATGTGCTTCGCGGCCACTTACTGGTCAGGCTGGACATGCAACTTCTGTCCGAGTAAACGAGCCTCGGCACTATCGTCTTTTTGGTGCTTACATGAACTACATAGTGACATATCAGGATCATTCTACAGCTTTGTTGGCGAATGACGATTTCATGTCACGAATGAGCAGTACCGTTTACCAGAAATTGGGCGGTATACCAGGTACAAGAGTGGTGCGTGGTTTTATTGAAACTAAAAGACAGAAGGAAACATCGGCTGTGAAGAGTCGAGATCATAGTGTTGGTACAAAATCTTCCTCCGATACCCCTAGTGCAGCCTCGACAGACCACGAGGTCAAGTCTGATTCGGAAATTTCTTCAGACACACGCCCTAATGAGGATGTGAGGAAGAAAGTGACCAATCAGGATGATCCGAGGTCAACTCTGGAACGGCAGATGTCGTCCCTTGCTGGTGAACCTCAAAATACAGCTGAGCTTGAGGAGCAAGCGCGGAAGCAGGAGGAGAAGGAAATGGAAGTCTCCAGAGAAGCAGATGAAGAGGACAGAGAGCGGCAGATTGATCATTTGATCCTTGTCACACATGGAATAGGCCAGCGACTTGGGTTGCGGCTAGAAAGCATCAACTTTATTCATGATGTGAATGTTCTTCGAAAGACCATGAAGAGCGTCTATAAGGCTTCTCCTGATTTGCAAGCCTTGAACTCTAGTTTCTCAGACAGTCAAAAAAACTGCCGCGTTCAGGTACTTCCAGTGTGAGTTAACCCACCCCGGGCAACTGTCAAGTGCTCAACTGCAGATTATGACCATCATACTGTCCTGGAGTCACTCGAAAGAGCTCTCGTACTAATTGGATTTAGCTGTTGGAGACACCTCCTTGATTTTCCCTACAGAGGGGTGAGGCAGAATCGTAAAGAACTTGATTTAGCCGATGCAGACTTTCATGACGACAGTTCTTATCCTGGATTGAATGATATTACCCTTGACAGCGTTCCCGCAGTCCGGAATCTCATTTCTGATTTGGCAATGGACGTACTCCTCTATCAAAGTGCTTATTGTGAACACATTTCTACCATAGTTAAGCAGGAGTGCAATCGGATTCTGAAACTCTTCAAGCAGCGAAATCCGACATTCAAGGGCTCTGTAAGCCTCTGTGGTCATTCACTTGGTAGCGCGATCCTGTTTGATATCCTATGCCACCAACCGTCGACTCCTCCCACGTCCGGAGAGAGGAGGATGGACCGAGACGGGTCTCAGGACATTTTGCTCGACTTTGACTGCGAAGAATTATTCTGCTTGGGGTCTCCAATTGCCCTTTTCCAGATGATCAAAGGAAACACCATTGCTGGGCGATCTGTGATTGACGGGGCAAACACCAAGAGGTCCAAGGAGGAGTGTGATCATCGGAACCCAACGTCTTCTTCCTCCGCGAGCCGTGGCGCATCAGTTCATGCGAGCACGGCGTCGGGTGAAGGGCCGACTATCGTATCGTCACCGAAGTGTCGGCAACTGTACAACATATTTCACCCTTCTGATCCCGTTAGTTACCGAATTGAGCCGCTAATCTCGCCGGCAATGTCGTCGCTCAAGCCGCAGCCCTTGCCATCGGTAAAGAAGAGCCTATGGGCAGCTCCTGGGCAAAGCCTATCCATGATTGGCAGTCGTGTTGGCCAGAGTGTGGGAACCTTATGGACCAATTTCGCAACCGGGGTCGCAAGCAGTCTACTTAACCGCAGCCTCGGCCTTGGTTCGGAGGAAACTTCACAATCCACAGTGATTGCTACCGAAACTCAAATGTCTCGAGGATCACTGGCTAACTCTTCTCTTGGAGAGGATGGCTCTTCTCGGTCTGGTTCGGGCCTTGATAGTCAAGAAGAGTCTGCCGATAGATACCGTACATTGATTGACTGGAACTTAGAAACGCTCTACGAAGGGACCAACAGAACCAAGACTAGTCATCACAATGACATTTTACATTCCGCGGCCACTGAGTCCGCCGTTGGCCTAGAGAGCGAGGACCTAAGGAGGTTGAAGATGGAAGATGCTAAAATGAGGGCACTCAATACTAATGGACGAGTTGACTACAGCATCCAGGAGTAAGTTATTTTTTTTCTTCCCTCCAGCTATCGAGGATCTTTACGTTCCTGTCTGGATCCCTCGAACCCACGCCCAGGATGCTAATACATTTCAATAGGGGTGCATTCGATATATCTCTGATTGCAAGCATTGCCAGCCATTTGACATACTGGGCCGATGAGGATGTAAACCACTTCATGCTTTCACAGATGCTATCAAGAAACGGTCGGCATCGAAGTGTCAAGGACTGATACTTCCCCTGCTCGAATTTGTCGGAGATTCTCTTCTCGCTATATTTACGCTCGATCTGCTTCCGGTCTCAAGCAAAGCCTGGACTAGGCGGTAAACCAGTCCTTGCTTCTGTTATTTTGTACCAGTTGGAGGCGAGGATACGTTGCCTTACACCGGCGACACCAAAGCCTTTCCGTGGGAGCTTTGCCTGTCTAAGTTGGACCGGAACCATTGCAATCAAGATTTTCAGCGGTATACGTGGGATAGATCCTAAAAAGGATACGTGATGTCACGCAGGATAATCGCAATGATACTGCCCCTATGATGGCTCCAGGATGATGCTGGGCAGCATGTAGAATACGCCGTGTATTTGAGAGATTCAAAGTTTACCATCAAAATTACATTGTGTCGGGTGTTCTATTTTGAAGAATGAAGAACAGACAAATGACTTACATCAAAGTGTTGTTCCAAGTCCCATTATTACAGGCTTGTGGACGTATTGTTTCTGCTGATGAACAGACAAAACGAACTCCTAATCAGCCATGGATCCCGATCTACTGAAAGGATGCGATTTTGAGTAAGATCGAACCAGAAATAAATCGGGTTTGTTTCGTACGACTCGTGCCAGATCATTACTTAGTTAAGCTCTTAGCTAAGAGTAATGTTCCTGTACCTAGGTACATTGCAGACTTCAGACTTTACCTTTTTAGGCATGCGCTAGGTGATAACCCTAAGGCTTAGACATAACTTCGAATCAACCCACTCGTCGACAGCGATGGAAAATAATTTCTCATAGTTATCTATCGGCCAACGCTTTTTGGATGATTATCCCCCCTATCAATGCCGCAATCATACAACTAACAGACCACATCCATTATGAACACTGAGCTCCATCAGGTCTCGAATGTCTGGGACCGTATCCGTGTTAACAGCCCAATATACGCGTTCCTTCTCGACGACGTTGAAATCTATAGCGCGCAAAAGGGGAAAGTTAATGCTCGCCTTCGTGTTGCTCCTCATCATCTGAATTCCAAAAACACACTGCACGGTGCCTTTTCCGCATGTGTCACTGATTGGGCTGGTGGGCTTGCTATCGCGTCCTGTGGCCATGACTCTACAGGCGTGAGCACCGATATCCATGTCAATTACGTGTCAACGGCCACGACAGGGGATTGGCTTGAGATTGAAGGCTGTGCAGATAAGGTTGGGAAGACGCTTGCTTTCACGACAGTAATTATTTCCAAAAAATCAGAGGCGGGGAAGATGACTATCGTTGCCAAAGGTTCACACACGAAATACCTCAGAACCACTTGAGGATAGCTCTCTTGATATCCATGACTCGCCGACAGCGTCTTGCGCGCTGCAGAAACATCATAGAATAGCTCGATGGCTATTCGTCAAGTACTTATACAAGCCCGCCATCTTCTTTGCATCTGGCATGATTACATGTTCTTTGAATGCTGGATTCACTCGGATAGCGGAGATTATAAACCCATTCTCGATAGCTTTAGATACCTCACCATCTCATCAAGATGTGAGGCAATAAAGAATGGGTACATAAACCGTCTAGTCCGTTGTTAAGCTATAGGATTCTAATTATTTCCACCTCCTGGTCGCATCCAAATGAAACTCACAAGTATGGATCTGACACCTACGGGAAGACACATCATGATAATTCGCCAGCACCACCTCATTTTGGTGTCACACGTGATATTACCATACACATGAAAGGGTGTCAGCAACGCGTGACATATTATATAATCAATATCTGGGACCAAAAATGGGAACGTATCGTCATTTACTGAGTATTTAGAGCTCGTACTGAGGAAGCTCTGTATGAACGCGATGGGTGGAAACGAAGTCTCTGGCTCCAAGGAAATTGGCCCAGCTTTTAGACTATACCCATCACAAACACCCTAATCTGTTTCAACTGATCATTTCTACAACCCCCAAGTCGTTAATAGACCCGACACAACGTGGCTAATGCCACCCTCGCCCGAGGAAAGTCATTATGGATGATTCCATTGACAGGCCTCTTCCGTCTCCCTTGAGCGAGACTTGCTCTGATGTCCGGGATGCCACTGACTGTCTTCTGACCTCGCGTCGTGACGATTTTAATCGACCAAGTGATTTGATACCTACCATTACCCCATCAAAGGGGCCAGTTGATTACATGCTACGTTTCCTCTCATCGGCCGATAATTTAACTTTGACCTGGTTTGTTGCGTCCTTGGCGATAGTAACATATGTTCTCCTAGGCAGGATTGGACTGCTTTTGATTGGGCTGGTGGCCGGCGTCACTCTGCATGCATCATGGGAGGCAGCCGATACTGGTCTTAGGGGGGATCCAACGGGTACTTCCAGTATCTATAGGAGGAAGGAGCTTTCTCTGAATATAGCGAACCGATTGCTGCAGTTATCGAGCCGCAGACCTTCAGAACCAAAATCAAACAACGGCGGGATTATTGCAGAAGCTGCTGAGGGGTTGTCTGAGCCTGATCTAGATTTCTCTGGTTTTCCACCCAAGACAGCGGCAGCATTGCGGTCATTGACCAATGCTGTTATAAAGGACTATGTAAAGTATGTTCGCATCACATATGTCTCCGCACGTTCTGACAGAATACAAGTCACTGGTATGAACCTATATTGCCAGCAGAGCAAATGTTCCCTCTCTCCTGCCGGAAATTGTTGAGAGACTTTATTATTTCCCTGTCCTCTCATCTATCTCGAAAACGGCCGGCGGATGCATTCTTGGAGTTTCTCACAAATTCTTCTTCTATGGTTATCGTGCTCTTGAATGAATTGTCAGCGGCGTTCCAGCATGTCGAGGGCCATTTGACGCCAGAAGATGCAGTCAAACGGTACCTGGATTTACATCCGGAAAGCAGTTTAGCGAACATTTTGTCGGAGCAGCAGCAGCGATTGAAATTAAAAATGGTAGCAGATGATATCCTATCCAGCTTTTTGGAACCAGGAGCGTACGCTTGTTCCGTGCTGAGGGAATTCCTTCGCGAGATTCTGGCCGGTGTAGTATTAGAGTCGGCAATCTCCAGTCTTTCGCGATCGGAGACGATCAATGGCTGGATCATTCATCTTTTAAAGGAAGGTGAATCGGAGTTGTTGAACGCCATTGATGCGGGGGTCGAGGGGGCCAAGGAACAAGTGGTCGCGGTCGAAGGCGCCCACGAAGAGAACAGGTCTACAACAGTTCCGTTTAGCAAGTCAGATATTGAGGGGAAACCTGCTGGACATTCTGATACTTATGGAATTCTTCCTACGACCAAGGTCGTTGAGGTTCCAATCTATCCACCAGAAGGCGCCACGGTTCGGACACAGGACTTGCAGGTCCAAACCGCTCGTCTGTGTTCGCCTGAAGATGTGCAGTCCTCAGATTCCCAGTCAACCATGTTGCCGCACCACTCGCTTGTCGGGACCCAAGACAAAGAGGCAACAATCCATACACCGATGGCCAAAGACGCCGCAGAGATTCGGAATGATTATGATCCGACAAAGATAGCGTCCACGAAACAATATCCTCCAGTTCAACCTACAGACCCATGCATGGCACCGCCAGCCTCGCATTTACCGGATTCCCCATCTAAAAAATCACCTGTCACGACTCTTCATCATGCATCCGTTTCAGTAGAGGAGCTTTCTGAAGCTAGTGAGAAAGCATCAATTCGGTCAAAACTTACATCGAGTTATTTGATCCAAATCGAGCCAGCAGCCACACGTCGCACTGGGTGGATGATTTTTAGAAATTATGCAGATTTTGAATCACTGCACGGCACCCTTGGAACGATAGCGAGGCTTAATAAGTTACAGGATTTCACGGAAAGCTACCCTGCCTTGCCACCTTGGAAGGGGCAGACAAAGGGAGCCCTAGTGCGTAATCTGGAGAGGTACCTTAAGGATGCCCTTCAGTATGAAGCACTTGCGGATTGCGAGAGAATGAAACGGTTTTTGGAGAAGGATGAGCGCCTCGATCCTGGTGCCAGCGATGCCTCGGCTAAATCTGGGTTTCCGTTTCCCACCTCGGTGGCGCTCGAAAACATGGGCAAAGGTATGCTAGGCGTTCTGACTAACGCACCAAAAGGCGTTGCTGAAGGTGGTAAAGCCGTCATTGGTGGTGTGACCGGGGTGTTCGGAGGAGCGAACGGCAAAAAAACATCATTCAGCTCCAAAGGATATCAAGGAAACCATGGCCGTTCCCTATCAACTCGATCCATCTCACAAATGAACTACGAGAGTATAGTCTCTGACAGTGTGATCGGGCCGAAGAGACCTGTTAGCGAGAACGATAAGACAGAGCGTTATTCTTTAGCTGTCGTCCCTACCCCCGAGTCCTCGAGTTCTCAGGAAGTCCATCCCAGCCCTGGGAGCGGAGACGTTGTTGACTCTACTATACCAAGGTTCGGAGATCTTGCAGCTTCGGATTCAAAACTCGAGAGTCATCATCTCCAGGGGCCTTTGTCTGACTCTGATGGTGGGGCTAACATTGGTTCCCGCATAAGACCGAAGGAAGAGCAGAGAGCGTCAGATGGTCAAAGTACTGTGCGGCGTCAAGAAAGCCCTATCTCCCAGGAGGAGACACAAATAGCTGTGGAGCTAATCTTTGCGGTTATCAATGAACTATACTCATTGTCATCTGCATGGAACATCAGGAGAACACTTCTGAACGCGGCCAAGTCGTATATTTTACGCCCCGGAAGCCCAAGTCTAGAGACGATTCGCACTCTCTTACAGGAGTCCATGATTGATGCTAATACCTCGGATGCATCAATCGCATCCGGTCTGACCAAGCTCCGCGAGAATGTCCTGCCGACGAAAGAGGAGTTGGAGTCCTGGCCTCAGTCGCCCAGTAGCGCGGAAAAGGAGCGTATGAGGGAAACTGCGAGAAAAACACTTGTCCTTAAGGGGCTACCGCAGGCGCTTACAAGTGTCATGGGGCCGCTGCTAGTCGCGAATCACTCGAGAGGGTCTTTGATTGTCTACAGGTCGAAATGATTGCGCGCGGTTTTGTTTACTCCATTCTTCTGCAAGCTCTGAGAGCTCTGACTTTCTGATCCGTCCGAGAATGGTGTGATTTTCAATGAAGCTGATGATTATTTCTCTCCCTTCTTAGCCGGATCATCCGTGGAAGACGCTGCCCAGGAATTTTCATTAAGATGAAGTTTGAAGAGGGGAGTATGAACATTAAATGGTGTTTCGCATGTTTAGATTCGCGCGTTCAAAATTTGCATCACCTGTTGGCACACTCTTATATCAGAAGTTACACAACTCTACCCAACCAAAGGTTGTAAGAGGAGCATATGATTCTTTACAATAGGGATCTTAGATCTTTGAGTATCAGCTAGAGATTTAGTTGTCTTTCTTCTGTTCGAATGTGGCTACACGTTATTGCATATTGGAAGTAGAAATGACCTAAATCCTTTGATACCTGTTCCTTAAAGCTCTGAATATATGCATTACTAGGTAGCATCAATATTAGCTTGTGGAAGTTGGAAAGGTACCTTTACATGGTTTCTAGCAGTGTAATAGGTCTCTCATCTGAGTATCTAGAAGACATACTAGACTTATAGAGCTACAAAGTTTTAGCAGTACACGCACCATAGGTGGACCTCAGAGTTTAGTTCGAGTTAAACCCAGCTGGGAGATCAGGACCCACTTCGTCCTTGCTACTCCATTATTTATCACGTGATATGACGCGTCTTATATTCACGCATCCATTGAATCATCTTCTACTAGAGAATCACTAGTTATGCTTTTCAAACCACTGTGAACAACTTAATTGTAGTGGTCTCTTATTCATACTACCACAGTTTCCATCTCGATTCTTTCCCCAGTTGTCCACGACCAGATCTTGGGGATGCCGTCTGGGCCCAGGAAGCGCATGCCAAGTGTCAGTGATGACTGCAACAACAATGAAAACTTCCAGCAGAAGAAAGCAAAAACCGAAGCATCAATGAGTTCACCACCCCATAACATGCATAACGCAGTGAACTGGAAAATTGATGCAAATGGAGACAAATTCTGGGAGCTTTCTAAAATGCGTCGTGTCACTATCTCCTCCTTTCGAGGGAAGACACTCGTCAACATTAGAGAGTATTATGAGAAGGATGGGCAAGAGCTCCCCGGGAAAAAGGTAAAATGAGCTTAACATGAGGCGCTGTCCCACCTCAACTGACTTGCACTATAGGGCATTTCTTTACCAATCGACCAGTTCTCTGTTCTTGTAACATTATTACCAGATATTGAAATGGTGCTTAAAGAGAGCGGGGAGTTTGTGCCGCGGCCAGATTATCCTCAGGCCAATAAAAAGCCAAATGGTGATGATAGTAATGAAACAGACCACAGCGCGGAATATGAGAGCAAATATTCAATGAAGAAGAATATTGAAGCAACCAGTGAGGAAGACTAGAACCAGGACAAGCTCTTATTTGGTTCAGGAACCACAATGGATGAAATTATACATATTTCTCTGTTTATATTTGTGCAAATGATGTGCGCCAAAAAGCAGCAGAGTGGAAGTGGAAGAGAAGGAAGGAAAGGAAAGATTAGGCAGGGCCCGCTGCGATAACCTTCCCTGTTGCTCACAGGGTGTAGGCATACACAGGCTCATGAGCTTCTATCCTTCAGTGATTTGAAAGGCATTTCCAGTCTTCTCCCAAGCAGGCATTGTTGTGGCCTCAATTGCCCATCCACAATTCTAGGTACTGGATTCAGGGACTCAGATGCTAGAGTGCCCTTGAGCTCCGCGTCGCCGCCTACAGAGTCGCGGAGGATTTAGCCTTTTGTTGCCGTTCTCAGGTAGCCAGCCTCCTGGCCCAGAAGCCAACTTATAAGCATCTTCTTGCGGGGGAGCCGAAGTGCTGAAACACCTCCAAATTCGTTCAGATTTGTTGACTCTGTAGGATTGCCTAGGCAATCGGGGTAAATACACACAAGAAGTCGTTGCGTATTAGGCTTCCGTATGAATATTGTCTCCGTCACAGATTGCTTGCTGGAAAGGTGTAGGAAGCAACTTCCTAGGCAAATTGTTCTAGACAGATTGGAAGATGCTACGTGCAGAGAAAGGTATCTGTTGACTGCAACACCGATGCTATGCCGCCCACAATTCTGGCTTTCATGAGGCCGGATCTCTTCTCAGTTATGAGCCTATGTTGGCATACAATTTGACAATAATGATGGAGAACATACAGATAAGGTGTATTTATGACCGAGCCTTCTCCTGCGGGCTCGATCAAATACTACAGGTGAGGAGGATCGATGGGAGATGGGTTCGACCAAGGAAAATCCATATATGCGGCCTTTATGTCCTGGTTTGAATGTCTTTCCTACTAATGACAGGGTCGGAGGAAGTTCCATCATAACGCAATACCTTTTTTGTTGCAGTTATGAGGGCCTGCCCATGGCTCGCCAGAATTGCTGGCTATTTTTCACACGTGTCGACAACCATTTCATCGTTCTTGCTAATGCCATCTGCTGACCACCTTCCAATGCAGGGAATAGACGGCAGAGGCTAGGCTTTCTGGCGACCTTTGGTCTTCCATCCGTTCAACTCCCAATAAGTTGTTGAAGTGGTCTTGCCAATATGTCCGTGGACACGAATGTCTCCCCATCGGATAGCGTCGAGCCTGCAACCTGCCGTCAATTACATGGCAATGGCTGTCCAAAGAGATCAGTCATCTCCTTCAATAGAGGATTCCTCGATCGCTGACTGAAAATTACCGGCGGTACATATGTACCATGGTAGCGTACGCTTGGGCGAAGAGAACAGTCAGCCGCTTGATAGTTCAGGTCAGGTAGTCTATATCGATTTCACCATCAACTTTCGACCCTTGTTCGTGCCCAGTACACCTGCCAACGTCGGGGATTTTTCAGGTGGGGCAGAAGAGCGATGAATATGATGCCTGAATACCTGCTAGGCCAGAAATCTTCGCCATTACGACGGTATGCTGCTCTATATAGGAAAGAACGGACCGTTCCTGTCCATGCGCAAGGTATTGTTTCTAAGGACAGAGTCAGATGCCAATCTCTCCGATCCTCTGATGCACACAACTGATAATCATAGTACTAATACTTACTACGGGCACTTATAGATGCACTAAACTTGTCTATCATCTAAATCAGTGGCAGAATGGCAATAATCACCAGTAGATAAATATACATCTATAGCATCTTAACATCTAAAACCCACCTGGAGAATCAATCACAAATCATATATGCAGTAGCGCCACGCATTTAAAGGACATAGGTATCCATATCGAGTAATTCAGAGAAAGTATACCTATTTTCTTGGCAATGCAGGACCATCACTAAAATATAACGTAGGTAAAAAGAACATAGGCAGATACAGAGTGGACTAAATATTAGACTGAGGAAAGCTTGTATGAGACCGAACAGTAAGTAGTGTAATAAATTCCGACACTAATGTCAGTAGCTTAAATAATATCGCTGAGTATACTTACAGCCAGACATCGACACCCCACTGCCCCCTTTTCCCGCACCGCAAATTGTCCAACCACCAGGGTGACACTGACCACTGACCAGTCCTCCGCTTCTCTCCCCTGAACCGCCTACCATCGCCGATAATGATGCCACTATCAATAATCATGTCTTGAGATTTCGTATATTTTTCCCCACCATCCTGTAGTTGGACATTCTTGTTGAAGCTAGGTTTCTCTTTCAATCTTGAATTGATTATTTACGAGCAAAATTATACGGCATCAATTCTCTATGCTCGATAATCTGCTAAACAAGCCGGTGGTACGTCTGACGGTACCTGTAGACAGCTTCTGAGCAATTTTGTTGTCTGGCTTCTGCCCACTCTCCAATAAACGGCAATTGACACAATTCCAATCTTTCTGCAGATTATCGTCCCTGATATATTTCCGTACAGAGCTCCCAGCACAGCATCACCACGCTTCTGATGTTCTGAGCCGTCCATCGATTCCTTCCGAAGTGACCACTTTGATCGCCTGGCTAACTATCTCCTTGCTCCGGTCTCTGCCGCCTCGCTCAAACTGCAATTGCGACCGGCTATCCTAAAGTGTACGTTGCTTCTGATTGCGCTGCTCGCTGGCTGTCTCCTGGAAGCAATGCGCTGTCCGTGAACGCATTGCATCCTGCGCTAAACAACGATGCGCTGAGCAAGGCGCTCAAAACTGAGGAATATATATTAAGTTCAGGCCTCGACGATTTATCTATGCCTACTTGTGGTTGCCTCACAGAATAGCCACCTCTTGCTTCTCGCTTGGCAGCTATTGGGAAATGAAAAAGGGCTGCACAAACGCTGCCGTGGAAGACAACGTTCAACCAAGGCGAACCCATCGTCCCTGAAAACACCACAAGCTCCGCAACAATCATTACAACAATGCCCGAGTTGATACCAGAGCGGACGACCAACGCGATTTCGGAATTCCAAACCGATTATGATGGGATTCTAGAAGGCCTCGGTAGCCTGAATCGTTGGTCTCAATCAACCGTTTCTAGCAAGGATTCGCCTGTCAACCGTTCTCGGAGAAATTCATCGCCCAGTAATATTGAATCGCCAAAAGCAAATGCAAGCCCGGCTAGCACCTCCAGCCCTGAGTGTTATGTTCCCGATCACCAGCGTGGCCAATCACAGGGGTTTCGTGTCTCCCAGCCTTCGATGTCAGCAAGCCATACCGAAGCGTCCAGACTTGAATCATCAGATGCTGGTACGATACCCAAGTTGGCGGGGAATGATACCTTCGATTCAAATCTTGAGACATCGGAGCCTGTGTTAGCCTCCCCCGCTCTCTTCCAAAACCCGTGGGCAAAGTCAAGCTCAATCAGCATGGGCTCTGGCGAACATAATCTATCTCGTGATCCAGCGAGCTCTCAACCGGTTGGCGACAGCTCACGCCCAGCATCAGCCAAGGGATATGGCTCTGGACGACGGCGGCGGGGCTATTCCCAGAAAGCAATGCTTTCTAAAGCATTGCAGAAGGCTAATACTGCAGTTCTCCTGGACAATGCAGCTAATTTCGAAGGTGCAATGGAAGCTTACAATGATGCTTGCCAACTTCTACAACTAGTCATGCTGCGAAGCAACGGAGGAGAAGACGAGAGAATGAAGCTTCAAGAGATTGTGAGTTTACCCTCTCTACCCCCGCAGAACTTACTGACAGGGATATTGTAGCGCGACACCTATATGCTTCGTGTAACCGAGCTGCGTCGTATGGACTTCTCCTTCCGCGAAGTTAACAGCAAAGCGCTTCCTGAACGTCCCTTAGTCAGGAGTCATACGGAGCAATGTCCCAACCCATAGATGACGAGGATGATTTTCATCCTGAAGAGAGATATGACTACTTGCAGTCCAGATCTTTAGTTCATGATAATCCGATCTCTGAAGGATCTAGAACCATGGTACCCAATCAAATACCTCCGAGGCGTCAGTCGCTATTGCCGTCGCCTTTGGAGGATGAGTCAAGATATGCTATACCGTCACCCGTGTCCGGCAGACCGGCTCAGTCTGATTCGTCCAGGCAAGCGTCGGAGAATTTGTTTCAGGGCGCACTGGACCCTCCGCAGGATACATATTTGACCAGAGGGCTCGGTCAGGATGAGGAATCCTCGTCTTCCGGGGATCCTCATTCTGAGTTGACCTTACTGAGCACTCACGCCAGGGACATTTACGAGTCAACCTCGTGGCTCGATACTATCGACGAGTCTGGTGCTTCTTCACCTTCTTCCCAGCACTCCCGAGTATCATCTGTATATCTACGGCGGAGGAGAAGCTACCGCTTCAGCCATGGTACTGAAGCCGAATTTGATGCTGCATTAGATGCTGCCGTTGAGGCTGCATACGATGAAGGGTTGGAGCCTGCGGTAGAGGTGGACGGTTACGATACAGACGATGAGATTGTAGCGAACGCTCGCAGGAACGTTGAGTTGGCAAAACAGAGAGTAAGGGAAGCGGAGAGAGAAGCGGAAGTAGCAATAACACAGGGCCACGATCTTCGCCACATGCTCGAGCAGACGAGGCTCGACCATTCAAGTGATTTGATCCAGGATTATCCTGACGATGAAGCCGAAGAAGAGGAGCGATTGTTGGATGAAATGACCAGTGGGTACGTTATGGATGATTTCGCATTTGATCTCCAGTCAAAATCTGCTCTTCCGCGCCAGTCAGGTTCAAGCGTGTTATCCGCTAGGACCTGGGAGAGCTCGGTTGTCCCTAATTCAGCTACAACAACGCCCGGCGTGACTTTGGCTCCGCTGGAGGAAGATGATGTTGTGTTAGAGGATCAATCAGAGAAATCTCAGAGCGCACTTACTCCATTGGAGTTCGACCTAGTTTCCTCACATCATGTTCCTTCCGGTCTGCCCAAACAGTCTTCTGTGCGAACAGCGAGTCCAAGCGTGCGAGCACGACGAATGTCAGGTCAAAACCCGACGGAACTGAAAATCGAAACAAGCTCTCGTCCTAAGATTGGCGATGATGCGCTCACCCAAGGCTCCGCGGATACGGACACGTTTCGACCACCCCCTGTCCCCAAAGACGGATCTCAAACACTCTCTTCCGCAAGCTCCACTTCAAAAACTCCCGCTTCAGCTTCCGTTCTTGCATCAGCCGTGCATCTTAACCGAAGGAATGCTTCAATTGCATCACTGGCTGAAGATGGTTCCACCATTGAAGTACTAGAGAAAGTTATTACAGAGGAGGGAAAACCGTATGCCAGGATATCGAAGGTGCCATCACCCGCCCGTCTGATTGGCAAGGTCCCTTCGGCTCCAGACAACCTGGGCAAGTTAAATTCAGGTCTGAAGACGTTCCGGCCGAGGAATGTCTCTGTACCGGCGCCTGATCTGTCTGCCAATTCCCCGGAAACACCATCAAGCGGTGCATTCCCGGACCTCCATAAGGGAACAGCAATTGGCCCGGCTCCTTCTCTACCTACACCTATTGGTGCAACTTTTGCGCCGTCCGGTCTCACCAGTGGAGGCCTGTATTTGTTCGATAGCCACATCCACTCACCGACAAGCCCGGATCCCCCAATCCAATGGCTGCGAACGCCCCTATTCCTTTAGAGCCGTGTCCCGAATCTTTTCTCTTACGTCCATTCTGGCTCATGAGATGTATTTACCAGACCATCGCTCATCCGCGAGGGGGTTATTTATCTACGAAGCTATTCGTGCCCCATGATGTGTGGGGCGTTAAAAACGTGAAACTTAGGGCGGTCGAAGAAAAGGTGTCCAACTGCGACTTGTTGACGGCGGCGTTACTTAAGCTTGCTAAGGTGGACACTTATGACGCCGACGCCGTCCTGGAGGAAATGCAATCCTTGGAAGCTGTGCTCGACCAGGTGCAGGTGTCTCTGTCAAAGAAGATTAGCAGCGAAGTCGGCGTGCAAGGGGCTTTGCCGATCTTCAAATATTCTCAGAGCTCTGAGGATGCGGCAAATGGGTTTGATATTATGCCGCAGAAAGTCAACAGCAGTTCAAGCAAATCGTCATATCTAACTTCGTGGCGAAAATTGCGTTCCAAAAACTCGGGTTTCGGTGCTCCCGCTACACCGGTGCATTCCAAAGAAACCAGCAAAGATAATTTAACAATCAGTTCGCTTCCCATGACTTCGTTGCCGACTTCGCAGGCTGCCAGGCGTGTTACACCACAGGCCCAGTTCAGTGGACCCAACGCACATTATATGGCTGCGCTCGCCCGACTGTGTGACGCGGCGCAGGTGCTAGGTGAGTACCTTTTCTCGTGCTTTCTGTCAATCCTGCTGTGCTAACGGAGGCTATCTGATGTAGACCAGATTGCCCAGCAAGTTGAAGACCCCGGTCTCAAACATTCCTCGCCCACATTAGTCGGTCTGGAATTGAGTACACGCCATGCTGCTGAATTTTTCGGATTCTATATCTGCCGATTCGCTTTGAACGACATTGGCATGATGCTTGATAAGTTCATCAAGAGAGGAAGTGAATGGGTTTTGATCTGAGTGTGAAGGCGTTCGAGCCTTAGCGTATTTTGCTGCTTGTTCACCATCGACGGTCTCCGCCCTTTAGCTTCTGCTATTTTAACTCTTCTGCCCTCTGATGTCCTCCATTTAACACTGATACACCTCTCCCATAATAAATGCCCCTTATTAGAATATCAAACGGAACTGCCCCTGTCCCTCCCCTCCCCACCGAAGTCACTAATGCATGAACGACCGTCGACTATCCTGACCTATAATCTCAGCTTTCTCTGGAGAACAGATCCTTCTGCATACCCTATTACTGTATTTTCTCTTGCGATACCATTGCCCTAGATTGCTTTCAGGTTATGAAGGGTTGTATGTGCTTGTTCGTTTGTCATGGTAGCAAGCTTTGAAATCTGCCCAGATTTTTACATTTTGTCTCAAGTACTGAAGGCAATTAATTATATCAACGGTGATGTTCTCTCGCTGGGGGTTCTCAATCTGTTGCATCTCATGTCATCTATTACCCACAAGTGATCCAGTGTATGGAATTGTGTTTATTGGACTGAGCTTGTCACTTGAGTAGACCTTCGATTACTGAAGAGCTTTGAGCACGTGCTAGGTAAAAGAACAGAGTACAGGGAAGCGCAAGAGTGGAGTTTCAGAGACGATGGGAGGAGACTGAGATCCAATTATCAGGACTGGGATCAAGCATGAATAAAAAAGAAGAATGAATTATGGCATTTGTGCATCAGACCCTAGCTTTCCTGTCAGCTGTCCTGAAACAGTCACCCAGTATTGAGTGTATTTATCGCATGATAAACGGCGAAGCCTGAATTCAACTGATTCATCTGACCCGTCTATACTCGTCGACTGGTCGACCTGAGACAAATTTGCCGTCGTTTCTCTGCGTCGCGAATGATCTCTGCAGATAATTTGAGGCTTGGGGCAAGGTGTGCGTATCTCTCAACCTCGGCCATCACACTGGATATTATCGCATCCACTCGGAATCCCGGAGGCAATAAAGTAGAGAGTCCGGGGGACATCGTGGCCCCCATGATCAACAATGTCTGCGATACCATAGAGAGCGCGCCCTGCCAGAGATAGGGCAGATGGCCTTCGCGATGACTGGTAATATTCTCCAGCTGGCGCAGCGTGGCCTCCAAGCACCGCCGGCAGCATTCCCTTACTACCTGGTCAGTTGCAGCGTGCTCATTCTCAAAGACAGCTAAGATGTATGGCCGGTATATGATAGTCCGGCACGCGTAGTATCGCAATCGGAGGACTGTCTGGACGGGGTTGGAAATCGGTGTGTGGTTGAGGGGGAACTGGACTGGTTGAGGGAGACTCTCATACCACTGGGAAAGCTGGAAATCCAGCTCCGAGACAATGGGCCCAAGTGATCCGAGAGTCAGCGAATTATCTTTCTGGTATATCATATGGCTGACGCGATTCAGGAGTCGCCGAAGAGCGATCTCAGCAAGGAAATACCATAGTTCCTCGCGACCTACCGAGCCCTCCACTAAGCTGGTTTGACGATCTTCATTATCAGCTTCATCATCTTCTTCGTCCTCCTCCTCGAAACCACCGGGAAGGTCGACAACTTCTTCGAAGTGCACAATGCCCGAGTGAGGCAGATCCAACTCTGCCAGCAAGTCGCTCTCATATAAGAGAGCATTCCAGTACACTCTCACACTCAGTTCTCTCCACTGAAGGGGTACACGGGCGGGGTCCCCGAAGAGTAATTGTAATTTCATACTAGCATTGGAGAGGAGGGTCCAAGCCTCCAGCGGTCTGACTAGGTAGAATAAGTAGGCAGACGCAAGGATGATGCACTGAGCAGCCAGAACAGAGTTGCGCATCATTACTGATGGCAGAAGATTCCACGCTGTTGCAAAGTAAGGTAGTCCTGGGGGTCCATATCTGAAGGAATAAACGAGATGCTTCCGTAGTGACTGGCGCTGCCTAGAGCCAAGACCAAGAGGACAACGCAGCTCTCGGGTCCCTCTCGGAATCCCAGAGAGACAGCTTTACTGTAATAGCGTGTCCAAGTGTATGGATTCACACAGGCGTACCAGACATTGACACGCTCGAAAAATGACTGTACATACGTTGTTGTATTGGTCAAGTCGAACCCAGCAGCGGAAGGAAACTTAAGCGGCTCGCGGGCCATCTCAAGCTGCAGTAACGTCTGCGGATCGTAGGGACCAGCGACCAGGTCCCGAATAAGGGGCCATTGTAGAAGGTGTAGCGCGGGAGTAGTGTGCACCTTGGGCATCGTTGAGATGCTCGTTGGTGGGTTCACCCAGGACCCAAGTCCGGCAACGGAGGTTCTCCCAGACATGGCCGCTATAGTGGATGCCTTGGCGACCGCATCGTCACTGCCCACATTCGTATCATTGCTGGTGGTAGGGGATGTTGAAGACAATGGGAAATGGGTTGCTTGTCCCACCAGAGTAGATTGAAGTAGACCCTCGATTCTATTCAACCTCTCAATGATTAGTTTGTCGCCAGCATCGAGCTTGATGCCTGGTTCCCTGTAAACACAGTCTGCGTCTAGGTCTGTACAAAGTTGACACCTCGGGCGCGCGCCGTTACATCGAGTCTTTCGTAAGCGACATATCTGGCACTGCGGTGCTCCTCATGGGTCAACCAATACCCAGGTGGCGAGCGGAAAGGGGAGGGCAAAAGTGAAAAGAAGAAGTCGAGGATACATACTGCGATCGTCGCACGTCTCCGAGGGTATTCTGTTAACTCCGAGTTGGATCGCTTTTTCTTGCTGACTTGAAATTCGGTAGTGCCGCCTGCAGTGGCCGAGTCGAGGACCAAGTCTCTCTCTGGAGAGGGCGTCATGATGTGAATGGCCAAGGTTCTTTCATATCACAATGAGAGAAACTCGTCTGCCCAGACTTTGGAGATATGGAAGAAAGCAAAAATGGCGTGAATCTGTACTCTCTGCAAGGGCTGAGTAGGCTTTTCATAGTGGCACTGCCTGTCATCTAAGACCAAACTCTCTGTCCTGTGGCTTGGAACATCCTCGAAATGCGGTAGGAGAGCTGACAATAGAGAACAAGATCCTAGGACAGAGGTAGACGAGTCAATGTGGATGATGATGCGATGATTAGAAGCCCATGGTGAGATTTCATCAAGCGCTAAGCAGCTCTTATGTGGCTCTCGCGATACACGTCGAATGGCTTCTCAAACCAAGTGCTGAAATGCCACAATCAGTGAGATGTCACAAGAAGAGCCCCGAGAAGTAAGCAGGGAGGAGGGGAAAGGCCAAAATACCTAGTTGAGCAGACGACTCGGGAACCAGAGAAGCGAGATTGACATTTCCCTGAGTGAGTCTAGGGCAGGTCATAGTGGGCATTTTATTATATTGTTGGACTCCCTGGGTAGTCTTTAGTATCCGGGGGAGCGGGGGAAAGACAATACTAATGACTTGGGAGTTTGAAGGAGCCAGATTTCACTGAATCACTGGACCCAATAATAATGCAGTAGTAGATTAAACCCTACCATAATATCATTAGATACAAAAAGAAGCGTAGAAGCACAACCGAATCAGAAGGCAGGCTCATCTTAGTGCGATGCGGAGAAGGTGATATCAGGAACCTCAATGGGCCATAGTGGATGACTCTAGTGAGTGTAATCGGGTTCATTCATAAATTACTACTATAATTATTATTGTTGTTGTTATTATTACCTCAAATAAGTTGCAATATTGCCCTCGACTAGGTAGGTAGGTCGTGAGTCGTATACGGTACAATCTGTGATGAAGAGGCGCTTCCATTTGCCGGATTAAATGGATTGTCAGAGCCACAGGCATCCTAGATAGCTACTGTATGAACAGGTAAATAATATCAACCTTTCAGGACCGAGTAGTGGAAACCGCCTTGTTCAAAGCCTTTTTGGATTTGATGAAAAGGAATCTGCCTTGAATGATTGGGATACATGATTAGGGTCTGTCCAGCGTACAAGTGAGACTATAATTCATTGATTTTTAGCACCGGCAACTAATTCTAGAGACGGCCACTGATCCGTGCTGGAAGGTCAACGGAGAATATTGGAGCAGATATTAGTAGCGGTTTTCATTGAACAAAATACGTCGGTACCTATTTCTATCCGTGGATACTAGTACCTACCTAAGGTACAGTAGCTACGGCACCTAGGTAGGTATTGCCGAAGTAAACTGGTATTGTGAATACATCAACCGTCATCTTCCTACAGGTCGGGGGCCATAGTATTGTCATTGAGGTTACAAGGTTGAAAGCTCAAAGATCTTGCTTGGTATATACCTTAGGACATGATTGCTCAGGGACCTCGCGGTATGTACTGGGTATAGAGTTTCCTGTATAGAGAGGTACGGAGTTTAAAGAGGGCATCAATAATCCGCCATTGAAAATGATAATAGTACGTTTACCAGCTAGATAGATAGGACTCTCACTTCATCATTTGCTTTACCCTTGCTGAGGGTACCTTAGTGTCACTGTGGTAAATCTGGTGCCAGTTCCCAGAGCTAGACCCGGCCTGGAGTGCTTGATGGAAATCATGGAATATCCTAAGAGTAAAGTACCTAGCTTTTACTGATCAACTGGAAGTGATCCAGACACGTGCAAGGCCACCCGACGCGTCGAAACCACCAAAACAATCCCTAGTCAGGGGCGACGCGAGCCGGATGGGGAGAAGTACTGATTAACCAGAGAAGAGCCTGTGTGTCCTAGCTAGCAACTCTTGTTCCTAGTCAAGATCCTGGTTCTATGAATCATTGCGCTATTTATCTATCTGCACCCCATCCCTGAAGACGCGTTCTACGTTTCATATACCCCAAACAGACCTCACTAATTACGCGTACGAGAGACTTCGACGGGTTATTGATTATACACAGAAATCCCGCTCTATTGAAAAAGTAATTCAGCGCACTCCTTTGTTCAGCGGGAAAAAGCCTTGTCCCTGCTGTTTTTCTTCATCTCGCCGCATCCGAAGTTTCTGGATCCAACACAACACAACAATGCCACGCCCACCTACAAAGCGCAATCGTCCCACATCGCGACATGTCCGAGCTTCGCCCAAGGTATCGCAGAAAACCAAAGATCCTGAAACCAAGATTACTGCCAACAAGTCAGGACCTCTACACGGAACCGAGGATGACAAGAGGCTGGAGGCGCATCCGGCACCTAGTGTCGATGATGTCAAATTCGCAAGACAATTGAGGGGGCAGACACCCATGAACAAGAAGCAAGAACAAGCAATTGAGTCCTCGCCTATGGGAGAACGTGGAGCTACGGGCAGCCGGCCACCCACGAGAGCTCGAGGCTATTCATCTACGCTATCAGTTGGCAGACGAGGGGCTGATATGAGCTCCAAGATACCTGGCACTCCAGGATTCGAGAGTTCGATATTGAGCAATTTTAGGAGACGACCGCGGCAAGCAAGCATTCTCCAGATGATGCAGGCAGACGACGGATCTTCTGATTTCGGAGACCTTGACGATGATGATTTTCTTGGTGGACTGAGCCCAGAGGATGAGTCGACTCCCCTCAATGTCTCCAGAGGGAAATCCCTCGTTATTAGACATGCCTCTTCCTCGCCTCTTTCGGATCGTTCGCACCCGTCCAGCGGAGGATCGCGAAAGCGCAAGCGCACCGGGGAGGAGCTTCAAGTTCCCCAGTCACCTTTGGCCGTTGTGGAAAACTCGCCTGCTGGTTCAATAAGCCCGGAGCGTGGCGATGAAGAGCATGGCATTCCTCGTGAGGTTTCACAACACTTGGCAGACGAGGAAGGATTGAATCGGACGGTGGCACCACCATTGAGCAGCAGCCCAGTGTCAAGTCCCCAGAGTAGCCACTCAACGGTGGTGGCCGCTAAATCACCGGCAGACTCGCTGGAGCATACGAAGGACCGTAACACAGGAGAATGCAGTGAAAAGCTCACTGTGTCCACAGCAAGTCTTCAAGACAGATTGCTTCCTCGGCGACGTCATAAACATCGCAGACGCAATGGAGTACCCGATGATGTAATTCTAGATGATGAAAGCGAGGAGGACTATTCTGTCGACCAGGATGAAGATGAGTTGTCATACTTGCCCACTAGGGAGCCAGTGCGAGCACAACGACGGCGAAAGGACAAACAAAAGCCATTGGAGGTTGTTCGATCGAAGCACAGGAAGCAAGGTGCAGTCGCTGCTCTGAATGGTGAAGTCATCAGTCAAACTGAGTCTTCTGCACATACAAACTCAGCTGGAATGAAGGACACGAGGCAAAAGAGAGCTAATGCTCCACGAAGAAAACAGACTGCTGATGCCGACAAGGAGAACCAAGCAATCGAGGTGTCCTCGCCTCTGTCCTCACCGCTCGACACGGATGCATTCGATCTAGAATCATCGCCGGTGCCAATACCCGCTAAGAATTACCTGAGCGAGGAGCTCAGATTGCAAGCCAAGAAATTTGAAGAGGTTGACAGATGGCAGATGGATTTTGAGGATGTGGTAACAACAGGCAGTCAAACCAGCCCATGCAGATGAATAATGTATAGCTTGTCTAGGGACTGTTGCAGGTTCAGAACGGTGAATAGCTCTGTTGCTCTTATGAAAGATATTGCATGAAGATATACAAAAGACCCGATAGTCTATCTAGTGTCTCGACTACGGAATACTGGTTCTCAAATTATTGCCCTTTCTGTACTCGACAACAGGGTTACTCCGACCTAGTACTCCGTACCTTATTCGGAGTACCTATACCGACGTTAACCGGCCCGGGCCCCGCATAGTATGACCCCGCAGCAGCCGATTAGCGAGCAAGTTGAGATTCAATTTGTGATATGGGCCACATCTACCGGGCAGATATAGGATTAAGACTTCAATTCTTTCTCATCTGTGTTATTAACTAGCGTCAAAGCATGATGGCCACGGTAGATGCAATTCTGGCGGGCAAATATCCGGCGAAAGCGCATGCGCGCCGTGTGGCCGAAAGCCTCCCGTCTCACAGAAATGGTTGTCCTGGTATCGTCTACCTGGAGGCTCAGAAAACTCGGTTGATTGAAGACAATGATGAGCCAGTTCCCTTTAGGTACGAAATGGCGTCCTTATTCTGAACTCCGCAGCAGTTGGAAAGATAGGCCTGACATATCGCATTCAATATTAGACAACGTCGACCATTCTTCTATCTATCTGGATGTCCTTTACCGGACTCTTGTCTGGTTTACGATCTGAGTGAGGACCAACTTACTCTGTTCATTCCCCCAGTTGACCCGGAGGATGTGATCTGGTCCGGTCTTCCCATGTCTACCGAGCAGGCTCAAAACCAATACGACGTCGATCGCGTGTTGGTGACTACTGAACTCAATAGCACGCTCGCGTCAATTGCATCCAGCCATGGTGGTAAGGCCATTGCTTTTACCATTGCAGATCAGGTCTCCGAGAGCACACAGTTTCACGGCTTTTCTGAGGTGAACCAGTCCGTGCTGAAGGGAGTCATCGAGCAGTCTCGCGTGGTCAAGGACGAGTACGAAGTCGCGTTGCTGAGAAAAGCAAATGATATTTCTGCCAAGGCGCACATTGCAGCTATTAAGGCGTCTCAAACTGCCGTGAACGAGCGCGAAATCGAGGGTGCTTTCATTGCAACTTGTATCGCTAATGGCGCTCGAGAGCAGTCCTATCACCCTATCGTCGCTTGCGGTGAGAATGGTGCCACTCTTCACTATGGGAAGAATGATGATACACTGATCGACCCCGTGACAAATCAAAAGAAGCGCAATGTACTTATTGATGCCGGTGGAGAGTACCGCACCTACTGTGCAGACATCACTCGCGTCATTCCCGTAGGAGGGAAATTCACTGCAGAAACGCGGCAGATCTACGATATTGTCCTGCAAATGCAGACAGAATGTATTGCAATGCTTAAGGAAGGCGTGCAGTGGGAGGATGTGCATGCCCATGCCCACCGTGTTGCAATTCGCGGCCTCCTTAAGTTAGGCATTCTGCGAGGCGCCGGGGACGAGATCTTTGAAAAGAGAGTCAGTGTCGCGTTTTTCCCGCATGGTCTCGGACATTATCTGGGAATGGACACTCATGATACCGGCGGCAATCCGAATTACGCGGATAAGGATACCATGTTCCGGTACCTTCGCGTCAGAGGTCGTTTGCCTGCGGGCTCGGTGATCACCGTCGAGCCAGGCGTAAGTTGGGGGTTTCCCAGGTTCCCTATACTGATCCACTGACACCCGCTGCGACTCTAGGTATATTTCTGCCGGTTTATCATCGAACCTTACATCAAGTCCCCCGAGTCAAACAAATACATCGATATCAACGTCCTCGAGCGTTATTGGAGCGTGGGGGGTGTCCGCATTGAAGACAACGTTATTGTGACCAAGGACGGATACGATAATCTAACCACGGCGCCAAAGGCTGTTGATGAAATAGAGAGACTAGCTGTCTCCTAAGCGTTTTGCCTGCAATGATAGTAGTGCTGTTAGTTGGTAGCTGCCACATACTCTTCACGAGAACCAATGCTTGTCTCGAACATTGTACTGTTACATTGTACTGTGAACAGGTCGCTATGGGTAATGTAAAAGAGAAGAAGAGAAAAGGTAAGTACACTCAAGTCCTTTTTGACACAGATACAGATACAATCGCCAAAACACAGGACAACAGATTAAACGTAGGATATTCAATAGCCCGTCTCAAGAGGGGATGCCGCCTAGATACCGCTCCTGAGACGTTTCCTACCACTGCCTTTAATGCCCGATTCGGTCTCTGCTCGATCCTGAGCACGTTTCTCTTTTTGGTCAAGAACAAGACTGAGTATATCAAAGCAGAACTCAGGCACTTCAAGACACAGCTTCTTGAACTCCTCTTCAGCCTGGTGGCGCAGCACATGGCTTCTAGTGGCCCAGAAGGAGGCAACGGGCTTTCGAATAGTGATATCGTCGACGGGCGTGTGCGTGTAGACATAACGAGCGTACGCGATTTCTCCGTGAGAGGTACTGTTGATACGGTGGATCTTTGAGTGTGCCAGACTCTTGAGCGCAGGCACGCCGAGCTTCTCTGCTAGAGTGTAGACACGCGCATGTTTCAACAGTAGCTCGCCGCTATCGTCCAGCTCACCTACAACGTCTTGATCGGCGGATGGATCGGCGGGGGATGCGGAGTAGTCATGGGTATATTGGAACTGCAGGAAGCAACCGAATGCCTCGACGTTCTCATCGGGAAGCTCAATACGCCGCTGCATGCCGGATATTGTATTAGTAAATGCATCCAGAATACTGCTCAGGAGGAAGCTAGTACGTACGGGACCTGATTCGCTGAATGCGGCGACAGCCTGCGCAAGGAATGGCGATTCCAACAACAAGCTCTGGTGCGCTGTTAAGGAAGTCTTGTACTCGTCCTTCCCGACGATGAGTTCTACAATGGGCGACGTCAGGTAGCTAAGTGGTGTGAGCCGTCCATGCGCCAATTGGGGTCGCATTGTTGAAGCTTCCCGGAGATCTGAACTTACTCAAGAAAATGAAGGCCAGCCTTCTTCTTGAGAGGTTGCGGCGGCTCCGTTGGTGTTGAACTAGCTGGCTGCGCGTCAGGCAGAGAGATATCCTGTTGTGTCGCGTCTGCTTGGGATTCATTCACCGCGCTCTGCTGAGTCTCATTCATATCCACATCGGGAGTTTCAGTGTTTTGGGTGCTCTCAGGAGCCTGGGCGGCCTCCGGCGCGCCTACCTGAACTCGGGGTGTATCCATTGGAGCTACTTATGAAGCAAAGGTGGTGAGGAGGTTCAAATCAAGAACGGATTATATATATTAGGGAAGGACAAAGGGCATTAAGTTGAAAAGAACGTATAGATACAGTGAGTGTCAATTGACGATATATACGCGATGAGTGGGAAAATCATTGACAGCTAGATGTTCTGGGAGCTCAATTGTACCTGTAGACTAGATTACCCATAGGTAAAGCAGTACAGAGTACCCGGAGCTTTGAATGTAACCTGTTTATTATTGCCTAAGCATGCCAGGACTACGCCATGTATTTGTGCTGATCTAACTTCTCTAAATATTAATAAGATTGAGAGGTGGACAAACTGAATAACATAATGGACGAGACTCGAGAAGCTTGATGGATACGCGTTTGATATGCTTGTTTACCTCCACTGGCGTGCTGCTGTAACGAACGCCTGCGCTACTTACCTTGGTATCACACAGGCAGAGGTACGAAGGCAAGTACAGTGATGCATGGCGTACCTACAAGGTCCTTAACAATGATACCTTAATAATATAGCATAGCTGCGAGAAACGACACTCATCGTTCATGAAAGATTTAAAGTATTAAGTGTACGCACATAGATATGGAATCATCAGATACCTGCCAGCATTACTCTCAGAAAGACATCGAGAGGCGAGGACATCATAGAGAGACAGATTCAAAGGCGAAGCTCGTTAGTTATCTACTTCTACCTTACCTCATCTGTCCGTTCCCTCTATCTCTCTATCTTTCCATGGATATTGCTGTACGTAACGGCAATACATGAATTTTTTCCATCTTCCGCATGTGGCCGCGTCCGGATATAACCTCCCCTCAAATGTTCACTGTTAGTTGATCGGTTCAGGTAAGGTATCCATAAGAACCCAGGGAATCATTTATGATTGGTGTGCCTCGCTTTCAGCTTCGGCGGCTAAGCTTTCCTCGAAGCTATATCTACGCTGGTTCAAGACCGACTTTCATCTTTGACGTTCAAACCAGGTGGACTGTACGGTTTTCTCGCAGCCAAAGACGCAACATGGCGACCGTTGTCAACCCCCCAGGGATCCAAATACCCTGAGCAATTACAATAATTGGGTGTCTACTCATATTACTGCAAATTTTGACATCCTTTTTGACCAGAGAAAGCTTGCTGGAAATGTCATCCATCAGTTCCGTTCTACCACTCATGGCGAGTCCAACCATATCATCCTGGATACCAACAATCTTGATATTGGTGGTGTGAAAGTCAACGGACAGCCATCCCAGTGGGAGTTTCTTCCTCGACTGGAACCATACGGCACCCCTCTGAAGATCACGCTCGATCAAGGTGTGAAGCTCAACGAAACTATTGAGGTCGACGTATGTTGCCGTAATCTCCATTCTTAGGCGATGTATGTTCCGGTCTGATGAGTCTAGATATCTGTCAAAACCACTGAGAAGTGTACTGCTCTTCAATGGCTGACACCTGCTCAAACATCAAATAAGAAGCACCCTTATATGTGTAAGTCAAATCGCTCTCTGGGCGCCCCTCTCGTGGAAAGAGACTCAAACAAACCACGCAAGAATCCTGGATGTAGCAGGTGAGCCTAGCAGAGGAACGAACAGATGTTGACAGGAGTTCTTTTTAGTCTCTCAGTGCCAGGCTATACACGCCCGGTCCATCTTTCCCTGTCAAGATACGCCGGATGTCAAGTGCACACTGGACTTCAACATCACTTCACCTCTTCCGGTGATTGCCAGCGGACTCCCCGTTCGGGACTCATCTGAGGCTCCGGAGTCTGATGGTAAGACTTTATACAAGTTCCACCAGAAGGTCCCAATTCCAAGTTATCTTTTCGCGTTAGCTAGCGGGTGAGTCGTTTCCCACCCCACCCACCAAACCCCCAATCTTGTTTGTTCCACTCTTCCTTTACGATTTCGCCACTCATTGGGACCACTTGGCGAGTTTCATCTGACAGAAAGCTCTAAGTGATATCTCTGAAGCCCCGATCGGACCCCGTAGCGTTGTCGCAACTAGTCCCGACAAGCTCAGCGAATGTCAATGGGAGCTCGAAGCAGATACGGAGAAATTCATCAATGCAATCGAGGTGTGTCTGAATGACCCAGCGAAGTTAGATACTCGACTGACTTGCGTACAGAAAATTGTTTACCCTTACGTTTGGGGAGAATATAATGTATTGATCCTTCCCCCAGTTTTCCGTACGGGGGAATGGAAAATCCAATCTTTACATTTGCCACCCCCAGTATCATCTCAAAGGTATTGCATTGACTCACCATGACTTCGGAAGCCCTTTGGCAGTTCTAATCTACTGCGCAGGATCGGGAAAATATCGACGTTATTGCTCACGAGCTTGCGCATAGCTGGAGCGGTAACCTTGTCACCAATGCCTCGTGGGAGCATTTCTGGTTGAATGAAGGCTGGACTACTTACCTTGAGAGGCGGGTAAGTCTCCTTTCCTGGCCTTCTAGAGGGTAGACGTATTGATTGTTGCTAACCGCGCGAAGATCGTAGCTGCAGTGTGAGTATCCTTGTCCCGAGCGTTCTGGCTCCGTGTCACTAACGGCTATAGCCACGGCGAGCCTTATCGTCATTTCTCCGCCATCATTGGATGGAAGGCTCTCACAGACTCTGTAGAGCACTTCGGTCCTGAGCATGACTTCACCAAACTTATCACTAACCTGAAGGGCATGGACCCGGATGACGCTTTCTCAAGCATTCCGTACGAGAAGGGATTCAACTTTTTATTCCACCTGGAGAATCTGGTTGGAAAGAGCAAGTTCGATCTATTCATCCCTCACGTATGTTGACAGTCCTGCCTTGATAAGGGCGTCCCGCTAATCATGCTCAGTACTTCAATAAATACAAGGGCAAATCACTTGACTCCTATGAATTCAAGAGCACAATCTTGGATTTTTTCAAGGATGATTCGGAAGCCTCGACAGCACTCAACGAGCTTGACTGGGACAGATGGTTCTATGCCCTGGTCTGCCTCCGAAGCCAGATTTCGACACGTCGCTCGTTGATGTTGTCTATGATCTAGCTGAAAAGTGGCTATCTTTGCCTAACTCTTCCTTCAAGCCTCAGTCAGAGGATATCCGAGGCTTGACTGCCAATCAAGTCGTGGTTTTCTTGGAACAGATTCTCGTGTCCGAGCGTCAGCTGACCCCTGAACTGTCTAAGCTGATGGGTGAAATTTATGGACTTGCCGCGAGCCAGAATATCGAGGTGGCCAACCTGTATTTCCAAGTCGGTCTGCAGGCAGGCGATGCAAGTGTGCTTGAACCGACGGCAGATCTACTTGGCAAGATTGGTCGGATGAAATTCGTGCGACCCTTGTAAGCTATTCCTACAGGTGCTACTTTCCAGCAATTCGTCCTGAAGCTAATCTTGGGTGCAGGTATCGGAAATTGGCAAAGTTTGACCGTAAGCGTGCCATTGAGACATTTGAGAAGCACAGGGATTTCTACCATCCTATTTGCCGCGCCATGGTTGAAAAGGACCTTTTCGGTAAGAAAGACGAATAAAACGAGGTGGAGCGCTGGCCACTTTATGCATTTCTCCTTCATCCAGGAATTCTTGTCGCTTGCCTGGAGTGGCACAGAATTTGGCTCGAACCGTCTGCGAGCGCGACATTTGCAAAACCACCATGGCCTTACCTAACTTCATCGGCCATCAACAACCAGATTGGTGTTGTGGCCGAACAGCTGAAGAGACAATGGTAGTGAGTCCGTCACGGTACTTCATAAATTAGATGGAGGACAGTGTATGTTCTTCAGTTAGGAGAAATGGTCAGTCCTGAGACTCAGGACGTGCATAGTCCTGATTTGCGTTCGAACGAATACATGGATATTTGGTTTACATGGTCATCGCTTTCCATCGACCAACTGCTTATCCAATTCCGAATAACCAAAGATGCCGGGCTTTCCACCGGGCCCGGGGCCGATATGTAGAATTAGATCGGCCTCGTTAATTTGGGAAAGCTCCGATATAACGCGGCGCATATACGCAACAACCCGTGCTACCTTAGTCCAATCCATCTCTTCACCATGCGGCCCGGTGTGGCTTGCTTTCCAGAGATTTCTCCACACAGCAGCTCCTAGCACAGCGTCACCTTTCACCAGGCCTTCGTCGTATGCAGCAAGGACGCCTCGCCATTGAATAAAAAGGTCTTTGAGAAACTTGTTCCGGATGGCGCGACTTGTCAGACCATGTAGAACATCCATGCGATGCTCCGCATTATGTGAGAAGTGGTCTATCAAGTGCCGGGAGTACGTTTGCAGGCTTTCATATGACGGCAAAGCGCGCAGTCGGACGGTGAGGAGGTACATGTGCAGAAACGTAACCTGCGACCAAGTCGAGAAGGTTGGAACCAGTCCCAAATCTGGACGTACTTAAGTCAGCCCTCCGCGGCTATGATAGAAAACAAGCACAAAAGACTTTCAAGATCGGTACATACCTTCGTACCACCACCCCTCTCCAACTCCAAGATCCTCCCCGGCTTCAGTTTTGGGAACTTGAGCCCCTTTCTGGGATAGTTGAGGAATGCTGTAGTCGGCTTGACTGGAACAAACCTCGAATAATTTCTGGGTCATGCCGTATGCGACATATGTTTCCGCAGCCGTTCCAGGGCGAGGGATTATAGCCCTCGATAATCGTGAAGAGGCCCGCCAGTGTAGAACTGAACCCAAAGCCTGCTGGATCAAACGGGCATTGCGGTGCGGAGGGGCCGGCGAGCGCAGGGACACAAGGCCTGGAGATACAGGTTGCGATGCGATAGGTGCAGATATGTATAAGGATCGCCGATGACTTCGGGGCGAAATTACAGACAGGTTGAGTGCATGCGCCTACAGTTCGTTTCATGGTCAGTCAGGCAATTTTTCGGAGTGGACTTTGGGTAATTGTGTTGCTACATACTTGAGATTGGGGACACTCCGATTTGCGTAGCGCGCGAACCCAAGTCAGATTCAAACTCTGGGAAGGCATCTTTGGTCGAAACAATCCGGCCAATATAGTTCGCTCGATGACTAGCATATATGTGTCGGGATGAAGCTCGTCCTGAGGTAGAGACTGATGATGCGTGGAGCGCGGAAGCTCTGTTTGCACTGTTTGCTCAGGACTACCTCATCAACGCAGAACAGCCAATAGATTTCCCCGCCAGCTAGTCTAGATCATTTGTGACTACGAGGACATACAAAGCCCGTCTTCGAATTTGCAATCATCGACAGTAAAGACAATTCGCAAGTTGTCTATTTGTTGAAGGCAGGGGTTCAGGTACCTTCAACTGGTTGCGAGTCTCTCTTGGGAGACAGTGGATGAGCCGTTACTAATGGCGGAGGCCACTCGGAAAGAGGAGCCCGAGGGCGCGCGAAGCGATGTCGATCGACTCAATCATCCTGCCATGGTGGCCAATAGGTAGTTGCACAGGTTCTATAGTGTTTCGTGGCTATGCATCCAGTTTCACTTTATCCAAGCGCTTTTCTATGACGGGGAGAATTTCAGAGAGCCTGTTTGGGTCTCTCATGATTGCCGGGACATCGTCTCTCGTAGTCGCCAGAGACTGTAAAAGAAATATCATCAATAGACTGATCTCTCATGGGGACTGACGAGTCATTTGGAGCACAATACCTGGCGGACTCTTTCGTAATCGCATTCCCTGGATTGATATTCTCTAATGACCTCCTTACTCTCGAAGTCGACATATAATCTGGTATCTCGAAGTCGGAAGAGTACGTTATCGAGCCTCATGAAAAATCTCGAGAGCAGCAGGAGCCTGTCTGGCATTACGCGAATCTTGCAGGACAGCATAGCAATGCCGTTGTCAGCCAGTTCATCTTCATACAAGATAACCTCATCAAAGAACAGTATCGGATCTGGGCGCTTCAGTAACTCGATAGGTATGGGCTTCGCCGTTATCTCAAAGGGCCGACTGTTGGGATGGACAGTGCCCATATAATCTGTGGTGTAGGACCAATCGAATGGTTTGACAACGTCCTTGATACCTTCATGGGCTTTCTCCCTGTTTCGTGTTAGGTAGTTGAGGGTCGGCTGCACCATAGGGAGCTGGCTTACCTGCTCTTCTGCCATTCTTTTGAATGCGCGACTCTGAGCATAGAGGTGCCCGTCTTGTCTACACGATCCAGCGCGTCAAACGCATTGAAGGTAATGCCCCAATCCTTGTTTTCAGATTCGACGGTGACATAGTTGTCGCCGAAGATCATTTCCGGCAGCGCAATACCTAACCTTTTCGTCATCTCCTCAATTGGCTCAGCTTTCAAAATAGGGAGCTTCTGAGTTATTATTCTGAATCCTTTCACCGAGATAACATTGGGCCTCTGGACGCCTGGGGAAACTGCGGCGGCATTCATAGTGGATGCGGAGCTTGCTGAGGCCATTCTCTGGTTCTTTCAAGTACCAAGAATTGAAATTCGATTGTTCAGCCCCTTCAAATCAGCACCTTGGTAATCGCTTACAAGGGGCGTATATTTCTGTCATCCATTTAAAGATGCCGCTAAGTCGAACGACATATATTCAACCTCGTCGCCAATAGTAGATACCCCGCGGTGTCGGAGAAAGAGGCGGCCCGATCCGTTGCCGTGGTGATGTGTCAAAGGAGCATACTAGATAAACAAGTGGATCGTTCGATGTTCCTCTTCTCTTTCTCAAAGGACTCCCGACTACTATTTATTATTTGACAATCCGAATCTTCCATTATCGGTTCAACTATGATTGCATAAACCATTAGAGCTTCTCTGAATCGCACAGTCTTACTTGCTTCTCCTCTTCCCAGAGCAGTTGACAATTCTCATCCCAAGATTCTCATGGCTACCAAGGCGCTAGAGGCTCGTTTTGAGCACCTCTCTGTCAAAGATGATACTGATCATGGGAAGAATGGCAGCACATACTCAAAGCACAAGGTGAATCTCTTGCAATGGTCTTTGGGGAGAGGGGAACAGCCTGCTAATCCGGCTCGACAGGGCTCTTTGTCAACAGCAGTGTCACTCTCAGGCCTCGGAGCCGCTGGGCAGTTTAATAGTGGCTCAAGTCGGTCAACCTTGTTGAAGCTTGCGCTGCAAAACACAAATGAGAACAAAGTGAATGCGATGAATGCCGGCTCGTCCCCTCTCAAGGGAGCTCAGAGCACATTGCCGCACCGTGACACAGATGAGAATGGAGAACCGCGACACACAACACCATTATACGAGCAGCCGGGCCCCAAGAAATTACATCTGGGAATGTTTGAGATCGGCAAGCCCTTGGGAAAGGGGAAATTTGGTAGGGTTTACCTGGCCAAAGAGCGATCGTCCGGCTTCGTTTGTGCTCTTAAAGTCCTGCACAAATCCGAGCTGCAGCAGGGCGGAGTGCAGAAGCAAGTTAGACGCGAGATTGAGATACAGAGCAACCTACGCCATCCCAATGTTCTCAGACTTTACGGCCACTTCCATGATAGCAAGCGAATTTTCTTGATCCTGGAGTTCGCCGGCCGAGGAGAGTTGTACAAGCACCTCCGGAAGGAGCACCGCTTTCCCGAGTGGAAGGCAGCTCAATATATTGCGCAGATGGCTGCCGCATTGAAGTACTTGCATAAGAAGCACGTCATGCATCGCGACATCAAGCCGGAGAACATACTCGTGGGAATCCACGGGGAAATCAAGATCAGTGACTTTGGGTGGAGTGTCCATGCGCCCAATAACAGAAGGCAGACGATGTGTGGAACACTGGACTATCTTCCTCCCGAAATGCTCAAGCCCAACTCACAAGACAACTACTACAGCGAAAAGGTTGATTTATGGAGCCTGGGCGTCTTGACTTATGAATTCTTGGTTGGGGAAGCGCCCTTCGAAGACACTCCCGTTATGACGCAAAGACGAATTGCGAGAGCGGACATGACGGTGCCTTCATTTGTCAGTCCCGAGGCAAAAGATCTTATCAAGAGAGTATGCCAACCCTACTGCTCAGGGCAAGTACACTTGCTAACATTCAAACAGTTGCTCGTTCTCGACCCAGACAAGCGTATTTCCCTTGATGAGATCCAGCGACATCCCTGGATCCTTAAACATTGCTTGAAGGATGACCGGGTCACGAAACGGAGTTCTGGTTCTTCAAAGGAAGTCAAAGCATGATGGTAAGACCCATGCATTTTTGGAGTTAGGGTGTTGTACCTCCTTTCCTTGTCAGTCAGTTCATTTCAGCCTGTGTGCATGGAGTTGGAAGGTGCTTTGTGCTTTTTTTCTTTCCCCCTTTTTTTTTCGAAGATCTGAACCATCAGGGCTCTTAGCTCGGCGTCATCTGGTATCTTCTATTTGTAACATCCTGAACTTGAGTATAATACATTGCAGAGCGCAGATTTCATGGACAAAATCAGACAGGTAGGGTAGGCTTGACGTATCTTCGTAAGAAAACCACGAGTCTCAACGGTAAATCTCGTCGAAGGGCCGCGTGTCTCTGAAACAGCTGTCCCAAACCTCATTGACCACTTTCTCCGCATGGGCTTCATCCTTGCATCCAGGTCTAGCTCTTACTGACAAGATGGCCCTTCTTCTTACACACTCTTGATGTTGTTGCGTGAACTTCCACTGACCGCGTCTGAAGAATTCTCGCGCCCATCTGCATTCACCACTAAGTGAGCTTGCTCGGATCTGCAGTAGGTCAGTTAATGCTGGCTTGGGTCTCACGAAAGAGTTCAATACCTCTGTGCAAGCTGCATGCCTCAGATTATCCGACCAGTCCACCTTAAACCTTAGGTGGTCATATGCATGGACCATCTCATGTGCCATTGTGTCCTCCAGATGCCCTTGGTCCTTCATCTCGTTCGCGCAAACCAAGATGCCATATTCCGGATCAAAGCCCCCAGCCTTTCTGCTCGTACAGCGGCGGCAATAGATATTGTGACTGGAAAGATCGCCCCCTAGCTGTCGAATATTGTCGCTCAAAAACCGTATGATCGGACCTGGACAAGCATATATTTGTCAGACAATTTCCATGGAGACCCAGTTCAGAGGAGCTAATGACAAGTGGATAAATATGGACAGCAATTCAGTGTGAAGTAATCATTAAAACTTCGAGTAGTTCCAGAACTCACTGTACTGTAATAGGTAGTCTCTTTGATCTTCGCAGCGCTTGCAATCTGCGGCTTCATTGCGGATATCTCGTGCAATCCGGAACTGTTCCTTTCCCTCATCCGTCATCTTTCCCGTCAAGATAGCAAATATATTGCGCCATTGGGTCCATGTGTCATCTCCAGGAATATATCCACTATCAGACTTGCCGCCGGTAGAAGAAGTTGAGCTAGGTTGCGAATCTGACATTTCTCAAGCCAAGTTGCTAACTTTCGAAGCTGTATCAGAGAACTATTATCCACCAGTGGATCTAGTTTAGAGCGCGGAAGGAAGAAGATTCGTCAGGGCTCTCCGCATATGCGGTGACGGGCGGCAAAACAAATGGTCCGCAATCGGATTGTCTGAGAGTCTATTGAAGACGAAACGAGTCATCAGGATTTCAGGTCCAAGCACGATCTGTTGAATTGTCGACTTTCTGTGTCATGGGTGTTCTTAGTTGCTTCTGAAATCCTCCAACAAATAGTCGTAACAATGCCGTCGCAGCGTCTTACCATTGTAATAAAACTAGGTGCGGGGATCTGTTTTTTTCTCGTTCTCTGGTTGATGCTATATGTTGCTTGGGAATAACTGACTCACCAGTTGAATAGGGACGAGCTCCATAGTTGATGAGAATACCCATGAGCCCATTCTCTCGATCTTGACCTTGATCGTCGAGACAGCCGCCAAGTTGCATAGGGATGGGCACAATGTAGTCCTCGTTTCTTCTGGAGCTGTTGGCGTTGGTTTGCGGAGGATGGATGTAGACGAGAGACCCAAATATATTCCTCGCATACAGGTATAAGCCAGCGTTCTCAAGTCCCGCAAGGGTAAAGGTTCTGACCGGGTGCATTTTCCAGGCGCTAGCAGCTGTCGGACAATGCAGACTCATGAGCCTGTGGGACGGTTTATTTTCGCACCTTCGACTTCCTGTAGCGCAGATCCTCTTGACCAGGAATGACATTGCGGATGTGAGGACTCATGCACTTGCAACCGCTGAACCCGAGATATCTAATGTCAAATTTAGAGGACACAATATGTCAATGCTCAAAACACCTTTGCCCAGCTGTTCGATATGGGAGTCATCCCCATCGTTAACGAGAACGACACGCTGGCGGTTTCTGTAAGCATCCCTCTATCCCATAAATTTTCCATTGTTCTGACGAAACTCACAAGGAAATCAAATTCGGTGATAATGACACTTTATCGGCCATAACGGCGGCCATGGTGAAGGCCGATTACCTCTTTCTGATGACAGATGTTGACTGCCTATATACCTCGAACCCTCGTCACAACCCGGATGCTAAGCCCATCGAGGTGGTTTCAGACATCTCGTCTCTGGAAGCCGACGTGTCGTCTGCTGGTTCATCTCTCGGGACTGGTGGAATGAGCACAAAGATTGTAGCTGCAAAGTTAGCAACCAGTGCTGGAGTGACGACGGTGATTACCAAGAGTTCCAAACCGGGCAATGTCCTCGAGATCGTAAAGTATCTCCAGCAAACGCAACGAGGTATTCCGGGGCAGTCTTCAACAGTGGAAGCAACGCCATCAGAGTCACAATCGCCGCTGTCGCCGCCTCTACATACGCGTTTTCTGCCTTCAGACACACCGATTCAATCCCGATCATTCTGGCTGCTGCATGGTCTCAAGCCACATGGGAGTCTGTACATCGACCATGGGGCATATAGCGCTCTCCTGAACAAAGCCAGTCTCCTACCAGCAGGTGTCGTGGGTGTAGATGGCCACTTTGGCCAACAGGAAGCCGTGCGACTGGTTGTTGTTGAACGATTCTCGCCCGACTCCCTCAATGGAGACTTCCTCCACCACGGGCAGGAACCCAAGGAGGTTGGTCGTGCACTGGTCAATTACGGTAGCGCTGAGATTGCACGCATAAAGGGTCACAGAAGCACACACATTCAGTCCTTGCTCGGATATGCTGATAGCGAATACGTTGCTCTTCGGGAGAATATATCCTTTTTTCGGTCGGATGATTCCGCACGCCAATAGCAGTTCTCAACCTTCGAATGATTTCGGCCAATGACTAGATCTCTTGCGCGAAACGATTATAAATCGAGTCGACATGACTCGGATGATTTTTGCACATATCACAGTGATACCTTATCTGTTCTTACGTTGGAAATTGCATTTTGAGCGACATTCAGGAGCCATCAAGATGAAGTGGACGAATCACGGAGTATGTGTTTATCAGTTCTAGGCTAATTCTATTATAGACCGTGAATAGAGGAGATTCAACACCGCTAAATTGGCCGATAGGAGGCAGAGCCTCTGGCACTTGTGACTTGGATGCGATCGAAATGTCATGGTATCATATTCTCTTCTTCGATTTGCTTCACTAGTCCTTCCATCTCTCCATTAATCTTTTCATTGCGGCATCGTGGGGATGCGGTGCAGGGGACGCCTAGGGAAAGTGTCTATTAGAAGAAGCACGTTTATTGTCAAGGCCATGCAAGAATCCACTTACTGTGTTCTCAACACTGACAATAGAGTACGTTGCAGATGCAGAAAGTGTAGCTTGCACTGTCGCTGGAGGAAGCCAAGTCGTAGCGATTGTGTAGACACTTGCTGTGAACTGCGGCGCTGGAGCCTTCGTCTTCGCAGGGATAGTGCTCCCGGGTTCCTTGGCCATTGGAGCATACTTTGTTGGACCGCTCTGCAAAGGATAGGGTACAGTGTAAGCTGCGTAAGCTACTCCAACCACTCTCTTTCGTAGATCTTCTTTGACAGCGGATCCGTCAGGATCTGAGAGAGAACGAATCTCATCCACGAGGTGAGGTGGAAACGACCCGGTCATGTTGCTGAGTGTGAAGCGATTTGAGAAATTGATGGCAAAGGCCTCAGGACCAGAGGCAACCATCTTTAAGAAACTGCAGGTTGTTGAATTGCGTCAGTAGGAGACGAGAAATGCAGTAGCTATGAACATGCAAGAAAAGCCCGAGGTCTCACTATGCGTTGGCTTCATTGCCTCCGACACCAGGATCGATCTTGATGGAAACCGAACTCCCGCGAGCGAATAGACCGTCTTTGATCAGAACAGCTACTTCTTGCTATTTGCCCGTCTTGCCGTTAATAGGAACTCCTGGACTGTCTGTAACGCCCAGCAACTCACCTGGGTATCAGTCGTGTCTCCTCCTGCGTAGAGGTAAAGATCATACTGTGACAGTTCCGAAATCCGTGGAGACTGGCCAGACTCGCGCCAATGTGCTGTAACGACATCGCCAGCCTTGAAATTCGTGCCAATGGTCGGCAGGGTGAAGTCAACATCTGCAAATGTACATGGGAGTAGCAGTAAGATGGAGAGGCACTGGAGAATATTCATATTGTGGATGTAGCTCTCATTCAGTACACAATAATCTAAAAGCGGCTGGATAGCTAGAGATCTAAGCAAGGTCTAAATTCAATGACCAAATCAATAAACAAGAGGCAACCCTCATCCCTACATGCCGGAGGCATGTGAGTATCTATGTTGACCCCTTGTAGAGAGGGATAGTTCTGATACATGCCAGTCTCCTTATCGATAAGCCTCTAATCGATATCGATAAGGAGCGGGAACCCAACAGCTAAGGCATCAAGTCCCAATGGAAATGCGGTGGCGCCATGATTACTCAAATGAACCCGCGGTTGTTGGCAACAAGCTGGAGCTTCGACCATTCTGCAATACGCATAGCTCGGAAGTTGCTCTATGTGGAAGATGGTGCGCATTTTGACCTGATACTATTCTCATGATTTTAGTGGTTTGATCGTTGTTTCCTCAAACAATACTCGTTGATACTATTCCTCCTCCTAAATAAGCATCCATAAGCAGAGATGGCAGACCACGGGGATTGGGGTCTGGCTGAGCGGATTTTCACCAGCCTCTTGGACGGTAATCTCGTCGCTATTGCAGTCACGACTCTCATCGCTTTTGGACTGCCTGTTCTGTTGCATTTCATCTTCTACCAGTCTGTTGCCTCTCCGCCATTGAGCAATTTCCTGCTTCTCGGACCTAGCGGGGCAGGAAAAACCGCATTGTTGTCATTGGTAAGACTAGTATTCTCTAAAAATGGCTTCGCAGTTGTCGTGCGAACGCTATCCTTTCAATCAACGGTCATTAACCTTACTTGATAGCTTGAAAGCAAGACATCCCGGTTGGCTAAAGCGACCCAAACCACGCACACATCTCAAACATCTACCTCAGCCATCGTCAGCCTCCCTGCCTCGGTACCGACTGCATCAAATCGCTACCGCTCCGTCAATGATTATTCTGTGAAGGATATTTCCAAAAATCCTGTTAGATATCGCTTAAAGGATACGCCTGGCCATGGGAAACTACGGGAGGCCCAGGGCCTTTCAGAACTGGTGTCAATGGCTACTGCGAAGGACAAGAAATTAAAGCTGCGGGCTGTCATTTTTATGGTAGACACTGCAGCTTTGACTGAGGAAGACACGTTGAGAGATACCGCATCCTATTTGCACGATGTTCTTCTCGCCCTTCAGAAACGCGCTTTGAAAAAAGGCAAATCTTCCGCCAAGGTAGCATCGGAAATCCCCGTCCTCGTGGCCGCCAACAAACAAGACCTATTCACCGCCTTGCCGCCAGGCTCTGTTCGTGAAAAACTGGAAACCGAGATCGACAGGATCCGGAAATCCAAGAGCAAGGGGCTCATGAATGCCAGCGAGGACACTGCTACGGTTGAAGACGAAGATGATACCTTGGGCAGCATCGATGCGCAGGATACTTTCAGCTTCAAACTACTAGAAGATGAAGTAGGTGTGAAAGTCGACGTCGTTGGCGGAGCTGTAAAAGGTGATGAGGAGGGCAATACTGGAGCCGGTGTGAGGAGATGGGAGGAATGGATCGGAAAATGCCTATGAATGCTGGTTCATGAATGTGTGGCTTGCTTCTGCGGGCGTTTTTAACAGACTGATCACCTTTGGGGAAGTATAAAAGTAGCTGGTGGGCGACCTGCGGTCACTCCAGCGCGGTCCACCTGGACGATGGCTTCATTTAGCAGGACTATAGAAGGACTCCTCGCTATTGTGGCTCTAGATGCCATTGGACGAACCCACGCCAGCCTCGCTCTGCCAGTTTGAACCTAGAGTCTCTGTCGCTCGGGCATTTATCCAGTCCTAAATAAGAGGATGAAGTTATGTGAGAAGATTTTTCGAATTGACAGTAGCGGAAAGTATCTCAGCACAGAGGACTCACCCAAAGTTCGCGAGCAAGCTTCGTATCAGCAGCAATCGGTGTTGTTTTGCAAGGTGTTGCAATAGGTATGAAGTATTGACCACGCGTTCCATTCTCTCGAATTGCTTGGCTCGCAGCTAGATAAATGGCTGTTGCAGCACCATCCTGCGTGCTCTGTCCAACCAGTGAGAACAGGCGTCTCATTATATAGCCTCCTATTTTTCCAAAGTAGTCATCCCAGGAATTCCACTGCTCGGTGACGATATTTCCTGGAAAGAACACATTGGCGTAGATGTGTCTATCTGCGGGGTCCGTCCCCTGCTCGAGCCGACGGGCAAGTTCTCTTGTGAAGAGAATGTTACCCAGCTTGGATCGACCGTAACGCCATAGCCCGTCGACGATTGCAGGCTTGGGGCGATTTGGAGATGTGAGCAAATTCAGATCTAGTTTGCGGCAGAATTGATGAAAAGATGAGCTGGTGACGACTATCCGAGCCTCCTGTGCCTTGCCCTGGTTTATTGTGCGTCTCAGAAGAGGAAGCAGAAGGGTCGCCAGAACCTGATGGCCGACGCAATTAGTAGCAAAGATGATCTCGATATTCTGAGGTGACCTCTTGTATTGAGGTGCCACGCCCAATCCTTTTGGCAGACTTCAGCAATCGAAGCGGCTGCGCAGTGCGCGAGAAAAAGCTTACCTGCATTGCATATCAAGACGTCCAGCCTGTCAGTCTTAGCCGTAATCTCATCTGCTGCATCCTTGGCGGATTTGATGTCCCCCAGGTCGCACTGAATGAATTCCACCCTGTCGTCATTCTCGCTGAGAACTATGCCATGGCGCTGTCGCCAGATCTCTTGCGCTCTGAGGTACTTGCTCTTGCTTCGCGCTACAATGTAAACTTTCCTAACATTGTGCAAGAGTAACTGTGCAACAATTTCTGAACCAAATGAATATAAGATATGGATGAGTACTAATATGGTACCCATCGGTATAGGAAGTTGCTACACACCTTCCCCTATGCCAGCTTGGCCTCCCTGTGAAGCGACAGTCATCAGCATTCATCACCTTGTAGTTCCATCACTGAGATCCTATCCATTCTTCAAAATGAGTATATACTCACCGTCACCACGGCTACCTTGCCATCCAAAGGAGGCGTATCCTGTAAAGAGAAGTTTCGGTACGTAAAGAACCCCGACATCTTACACAAGTAGTTTCTAAGCTCAAAGCTCGTCCGAGTCTTATGAAGAGAATAACAAAGGTCGCAAATGGGATACAAATTCTTTTCATCCTCCCTGAATTTTGCGCCATGGTTTCGACGTTAACGCCTGACGTCAAAGAGTGTGAAGATAAAGGCAAACACATGCGGGGATACAAGCAAGTCAGTCCTACGTCAGGGTGTCCGCATCAATGAGAATGGAATGGAATCATAACAACCTACGAATTAGTGACCACCACAATGAGGTGGAAAACAGGGTCCGAGATTCAGTCATTGGTTGATTCAATGCGTGTATTCAAAATTCAAAATAACCCAATTAACTCCGTACCCTGGCCCCCATGATCGTGTTGAACCCAATCTATGGATGAATGTCTCTATATAATCGAATGCAGACTGATATCGCAAAATCAGGAGAGATGAGGTTGAGCTCCCTGAAGCAAATGACTCATCCTAATGATACGCATCGTTGAAACGTGAAAATATCGTAAGAAAACGGGACAGGACCCGTATTAAGAAGAGTTCTCATTGTGATGGAGCATCCAGTTGAGCAGATCGACCTTGGTTGCGACCGCGAGGGGCCTCATCGTTCCATGCTCGTCCCTCTCAGTGACAATGGCGGCGCTGTTCCATTCAAAGAAACGGTTGAGGACGCTCAGAGGAGTGTCCATAGTAATTTCCATGAACTTGCGATTTTTGGCTTGTGGCCGTAGGACATCAGCTCCGTTCTGTTGGTCGCCACTGAGCTTGGATTCCGCCAGACCGAGGTCCCTAGGGTCGGTGACGACCTCTGAGATCTTCCCGAAGTCGAACATGACATCTGCCACCAAGCTCTTCTTCGTAGCGCGTCCGTGCGTCAGCCGACTGAGGATATTTCCCAAAGTGACCAGTCCAACAAGCTTCTTTCCAGAGGGTGCAAGGACGGGAAGTTGATCGAATCCTCTATCGCGCATAATCTCGATCGCATTCTCACATGGGATGTTGGACCGGACGGTTGTGATGGGCTTCAGTCTCAAGAATTTAACCTTCGCTCCAGCGAACTTATCCTTTGGTGCCTGTGGTTGCACACTCTGCGATACCAATGTAGTCTCGGAGGATAACGAGGGCAGCAGATCATTTGCGGCGAGCCAGTCGTCGTCGGCAAACTATGACTGTCAGATTTGACCAATAGAAGTAGGCAGGGGCTGGATTGATACCTTTGTGAGATAACTCCTGATACTATCAGGCAGAATCACAACTACTACATCGTCTTTGCTGAAGGTGTGATCTTTTGCGGCCTGTACCAGCGCTGAGATCGCGCTTCCACTGCTCCCACCAACAAGAAGACCTTCCTCGGCGATCAATCGCCGAGCGTATTGGAATGACTCCCTGTCTCCAGTCTTGTACCACTTGTCCACGGCACTCTGGTCGAGCACTTGCGGAATGAAATCATACCCGATACCTTCAACTTTATAGGGCTCATTTTCATGCTCCTTGTTCAGATTGGCCGGAACAGCCAGGATAGAGCCGTGGGGATCAGCCGCAATGACTTTCACCTTGGGGTTGTGCTTCTTCAGGCCTCGCGCCAGCCCGGTGATAGTGCCACCGGTACCCGCACCTGCGACGATAGCACTGATCTTGCCGTTAGTTTGAGTCCAGATCTCTTCCGCAGTGCCAAGCTCGTGCGCTAATGGATTGTTCACGTTTCCGTATTGGTCTAGGATATGCGCATTGGGGATCTCCTTCTCGAGACGTTTGGCGACACCGATATGGGATTCAGGGGAGTCGTAGGCAGCCTCGTTAGGCGTACGGATGATGGTAGCGTTCAAAGCCCGTAGTACGGACACTTTCTCAGCAGACATCTTCTCGGGCAGTGTGATAATAGTCTTGTAGCCTTTGAGGATTTATGAGAATCGTAATTTACCAACAAGAACGCCAAGGAGAGAAAGACAAACCTTTGACGGCAGCAACAAGAGCTAATCCAATACCGCTGAAGACAACGCGAAATGTTAGTCCATGCCCTCAACTATTACGGAGGGGGAAAAAGGTAAGCAAACGGCGCAACTAACGTGTTACCACTGGTAGGTTCAATCAGGGTATCACCAGGCTTGATGCGCCCCGATCTCTCCGCCTCTTCGATCATGCGCAAGGCGATTCTGTCTTTCACGCTACCTCCGGCATTGAAGTATTCCAACTTCGCATATACAGTCGCTTCAATTCCAAGGCTCTGTGGTACGCGATTTAAGCGCACAAGTGGAGTATTGCCGATGTGTTGAGTGATCGCATCAAGGGCCACTGGAGGGACGGCGGGGGACGTTTTGGACGACATTGTATGAGCGATGGCCTCAGGAAGACCAGAGAAAAACCAGGATATCGGGGCTCAATTAATTCAAGTGAGAGAAGTTTATGAGAAGGCAAACAAGCTGTATTTGATTGAACTCCGAATTGAGAATGAGGAAAAGCAGATGTGCGCAAGATGAGAAAAAATCGCGTAACAAGAAAACTCCCCCTCCCGACAATAGCCGCCTGTCGCCGCCAGGCGATGTTTTAGGATTATGGTGTTATCAGCTTTTTAGTCTACTCCGTACGGGAGTCCGAAATGATGGTGGATTCACAGAGAAGTATCATTTATATAGGTTTTTGACTCTCCCTCAAAGTCCAGAGCTCCATGGAGAAAGTGCATTATTTGTTATGCGATATTCCAGGATTCTCAACTATAACGTGTACGTAAAGGTCCCGTAGCAGGGTATCGTTGAAGTTTTTCTTCGGGGAATCAAGCTCGTAGGATTTGGTTCAGAGCTTGAGATGTCCGATGATAGCGTTGATATACCTACCACCAGCCAAACCCCGTGGCCATGATCTACAGAGGTAGATACGGAGACCTTAACGGACCTTGGGGACCCTGAGTGCATGCATGACTTAACAGCACGCAAAGATTCCACCCAATCGGAGTAGTTACAATTTCCGGTAGTACCTAGGTACTTACAGAGTAGTCCTGCTCCAAAATAGCCCGATCTATTCATGTATCCAGATTCTAGACTCGATCAAAATGCGTAGAATTCTAGGGTGTAGATAAATAAGCAATAATAATGATCATCCGGGCGCTGATGATTGCCATATGTGAATGCGGTCCCTGCAGACGATCTACTAGTGCATTTCAGAGAGCCAACGTGCCTGTCAACAGCAGCGTCCTGAATCGGATCGTGCCACTTCTACGGAGTAGATAGGATACGATATATTGAATCATGCTCTCCCTATGCATGACTCTGGCATTCTTGACAAGATAATCCACCAGCCTGATGATGTCAGTTGGAACACCACACCTGCAAGTTCTTGCCACAGTCCGGGTACTCACTCCGTAGGGAGTACCGCTGCTAAGGGAGTCTTAAGACAGTCTGTGTCGATGCAACGATGTACGGAGTATGCTTCTGAGACAGCTCCATCATTAAAATAATAATGAACTTCCCCTGGTATTTCCATGACATGAATAACCAAGGGTAAAGGGACCACTCCGTACGTACCGTCGTGTCTAGATGGACGAATATGGATCTCGGATTATTAGACGGTAAATAGTCCGTACTCGAAGTAGATAAATAATACAAGGATGATGGAATGGACCAAGTTGCAGTGGCTGTGCAAGATATATCCACATTCCACTTCTTCCCCACTGAAGGCTAGCCCCAGTGTCTAATTAATATCTCCCAGGTACCAAATAGTGACCATCCATGGTACAGTCACTTAGGTGCTATCTACTTGGGTACTGGTAAACATAGTGCAGAGCACAGAGGCTATTCATCATAATAATAATGAGATGTTGCAGGATTCATCTGGTATATGCTATGTGGCTTCGAAAGACACGCTTGCTATCTTCTGTTACAGCAGCTTGAATGAGTATCTCGTATGAATAGTGCCAAAACCTAATACCATCAGTAATTATTACTATTGAACGACGAAGACAACTCAACAACCCCTTTTCCAGCCAAGAGAAAAAAGTAAACAATCCAGCTATGAGATATCTGGTCTAAGCCTTTGAGGTCGATAGCTTCATTTGCCAAGCCCTTTTAGCTGCTTTGAAATGCCAGCAGTTGGGTTGTCCTCCGTAAATCAAAATGAAACTTGATACCCACTTACTCCTGCTGCCATACCGAGCATCGTCAATAGGTAATTTTTGTTCTCTCTCTGGCCAGTCAAAGCCCAGCCACTGTGGTTAGTTAGTTACCTAGGTACTCCGTGTTTTGTCTATCAACGGGAGTACGAAAACCCTGCCGTAACGCCACAATGCCAGCTCACCCTCAGCTCTGTTTTGGCTTATTTCAACAACTCCATCCCGGGGTCGTCAAAAATATTTGTTTTCGTAACATTTCTTTATATATACTACCCTCAAGTTGATTTAGTGTGAGGGTCACTGCGAAGAACCATTGTCTGTCAGGGACACTCCCTAGCTTGAGCGTTACCATAAATTACCCTTGGAACACTAATATCAACCTATGTTGACAGCCATTTACTTTGCTTGAACCGCCCAATTCAACCTCGCCTGCTTCGTTTTTCGTATTTTTCTCTCCTTCTTGTTTACCTGTCCTCGCTCCATTCCATCTCTCATACAGATCAAGCAAGCAAAGAATAGCGCTCACTCTGGGGAGAAACGTTTGGTCCGCACAAAGTTATTGAGAGATTCCCCTTTTGAAATTGCTTCAGAGAAAGCGAGCGTGGGCTTCCGTGCATCAGCATGGGCGCCAATAGGAGCTCCTCATTTCAGAATGAACGGGTACAGCAAGATGTAAATAACGGAGACCTGAGGTCGGGGCATTTCCAACCAGCAGGGTCATCGCAGGATCAGTCCATACTTCCTACACATAACGAGAAGAGTGCTCGCCGCCATGGAATATTTCGAGTTGACACCGCTGGCGAGAGTGGCCGCAGTGGGTTTCATCCAGTCCACTTTTTCGCGGTCTGCTTCAAAAGCACTTGTACACTTTCGATGCTGGTGAACATCCTTTGGCCTTTCGTCCCGGCCGCTATTGCCATACACTTCGCTCGGAAGGATCTTCACATATGGATTTTCGCTTTGAATTATGTTGCCATGGTCCCTTCAGCAAACTTGCTCGGCTTCGCAGGCGGAGAGTTGGCAAAGAAGCTGCCCAAAGTTCTCGGAGTACTGTTGGAAACAACACTGAGTTCCGTCGTGGAGATCGTACTCTTCATGGTTTTGATCCACAATGATAAAGGGGGAAACCTGATCCCAGTCATCCAGGCCGCTATCCTGGGCTCGATTCTTGCGAATTTGTTGCTTTGCTTGGGGTTGTGCTTCTTCTTTGGAGGTATCAGACGCCATGAACAGTCGTTTCATGAAGCTGTAAGTGAGGTCGGGTCGGGGCTTCTGCTCGTTGCAGGTTTTGGTCTGTTGATTCCGAGCGCCTTCTACGCGGCCCTAAGCTCGAGTTCAACCAAAGCGATCATCACCCAACAAGATTTGGATCATTCCACTTTGGTAATCAGTCGATCTACCTCTGTTATTCTTCTCGTCGCCTTTATTATGTAAGCCCCTCCGTTCTTGGGCTGCCTTTAAGGATCGAGTCCACTCACGCGGTTGCACAGGTTCCTGTTCTATAATCTGCATAGTCATCACAGTATTTTCGATGAGGTCCTTGAGAATGACGAGCAGCGCGACGAGGATCGAGAGGAAGAATTGCAGCGCACGAAGCTCACTCTGACCGAGTGTCTAGTGGCTATAGCATTTTCACTCACGTTCGTATGCATGTCAGCAGTCTTCTTGGTCGAAGAAATCGAGTACGTTGTTGAAACAGGGGTTTCTGATAACTTTATGGGTCTGATCTTGGTTCCTCTGGTCGAGAAAGCAGCAGAGCATCTGACCGCTATCGACGAAGCCTGGTGAGTCCGACCTGGAGATGAATGCAGCTGCGTCTCCGCCAAATTAACGTCTGTTAGGGACAATCAAATCAATTTCGCACTCTTCCACTGCCTCGGCCCTTCAATCCAGACAGCTTTGTTGAACGCGCCACTGGCAGTCATTGTGGGCTGGTGCCTTGACAAAGACATGGGCCTCAACTTCGAAATCTTTATGATCGTCCTCGTCGTCCTGTCAATCTTGGTGGTTGGAAATTTCTTGCGCGACGGAAAGTCCAACTACCTTGAGGGAGGTCTCTGCGTGCTTGTGTATGTCATTATTGCTGTTACAACTTGGTACTATCCCAAGGTGGAAGGCGAGTCGGGCGGCCACTCGGGCAATCATGCCGAATAATTTACTCAGTCGCGGACATCTTTCTGGCATCTGTTTCATTGTTTTTTTAGATGATATACCGTTTTGAATAAATATGTTTTAGCAGATGAGCATGATTGGAGTTGCGGGATTGTAATAGATACTTTTAAAGCTTTAGATTACCCAACTGATTGTTGGAAAGACAGTTCAATTGCAATTAATAGCTTTGGCATCGTACTTGATGATGAGAGATCCGCAAGGAAGTCGAAAAAATAAACTATGTTATCATTAAAGGAAAACGAAAATGCAGTCTACGGACAAGATTGTCCTGGAAGTTGTGTCGTAGGGTGGAAGTACAGCCATGGTACGGAGGTACTTAGGAGTGAAGCTTAAGCGCGATTCCACGACGGTTCGCTCTTCCGCACCCAGCATATCAAAACAATGGAAAAGGAGACCGCAGTCAGTCCAGCGGCCAGAGTTATTGGCGCTCTCAAAGATCGCAAACTTCCAATCAATCGGAATGAGGTCGAGTCGGCTTTGTTCGACAACTACAAGAATGTTGAGAACATTCAATGGGTGGAGGAACACCTCGGACCTGACACACTGCTTTCGCAGGAGGAGCTTACACTGTATGTTCCCCATTCCTCACCCCCGTTGAATTATAATTCTCTCTATTTTGAAGCGATAGACAATTGTTGCTAATAGTATATTCTAAAGACTCACAACATTGGAGAATTCGGGCGCCTTGCAAAACATCATATCCGATCCAGATCTTGCCGCGACACGACCATTCTTGGACGAAGACCTGCGCAGTGCGATCGATTCGTTGAAGACATCCACCTCCGCGATCCAAGCACGGACGAAGATACTGAACTCACAATTCGAAATTCTGAATAGACAGTCGGGTCTGCAAGAACAACGAAGGATTCGACAGCAGAGAGACATAGAACGGCTACATCAAAAGCATGAAAGCGGAAGGCAACACATCGCAGCTTCAGTAACAAACCAATATGCGGAGTATTGTTGAACGATTCAGGACTGACGTTTCCCAAGTCTAGTGACCTTGCACGTGAGCTAGAAGCGAGCCTGAAAACCGAAGTGGAGAGAGTAACGAACGATGGCAGAAAGACCCTGTCTGTCCTGGCAGTCAGGGTAAAGGATGATGACAAGATACTTGCAGATCTGGAGCAAAGCGCTTCAGGAATACAAGTCACTACCGATGATGCCTCTATAACCAAGAGAGCATCCGAACTGGGTTCCCTACTTGCGGAATACGTGGCCGACGAGATACACTGCCGCCTCGACAGACTGTATCTTGAAAGTGTCAAAGCGGGCCGGGCAGATACGGTTGACAGAGCAACAGAAACGGAAGAGGAGGCTTTGATGACGCTGGGTGATGAACTAGAGTCCTTGTACCCAGAGATTGACATATTAGCCGAGATGTCCACAAGGCAGTTATTCAATGAGCCCATACTACGTGAACTTCAGAATGTCCATGGTCAGCTGCGAATGGCCTCCCACAAAAGGCTTGAAAACGTTGGTGGACTGTTGGTCGGAATCTATCCGCGATTCAATGGCTGACCATCTCATAGATCCTGGATACCATCGTTGGCATGACGTCGTCTATCGGCAGCCTTGGGGAGCTCCTGCAGAGTCGCGAATCATATTGCGCGACTCTAGAGGCTCTTACAGCTGCCTACAGGACGGAAATAGGCAATCAGTTTTCCGAAAAGCCTTCTTCAAGGCGAGATACATTGAGTATGAGGAGGCGTTCTACTCCGTTGCTATCCATCCCTACCGCTCCAGAGAAGCGCATGGATTCTTCAGATTTCCAGGCCATCGCGGGCGTTCTGCGCCGCATTGGTCTGTCGGTGGAGTCCGTGTTCCAACTAGAGGAGCAAGGAGGAAAAGATGATTGCGGCGAAAATGCTCTCTTTGACAAGAAACAGCACATTGTTGAGTACCTACGCAATATTAGCGTCGGTGCTAAGTTACCCTTGGTGGCTGGATTGATCCCAAGTGACCAAGCTTCTCAACTTCTTGCATCTGCCCTGAGCGAACATTCTCGATTTAAGACCTCGCTTTTGGATGTGGAACAAGACCAGAAGCTCAGTGAGCTCGAGTCACAATTGGGTGGACTTCAGAAGGGGATCGAACGGCTCAACTTGGACGTACTCTACCAACGTGACAGGGGCCAAGAAAAGTTCATGGAAAAGTGGGCATAGCGAGGGAGCCTTGCGCTAATTATCGTGCTTAGACTTTTAACTCCCGTCTCGTGCCGTCCTCGGAAGGAATGAACCTAGCAGGACGTGGCGGCGAATTCCATATGCCTCTTCAGCTCTGTGGTTGCTTGTCCACATGAACGAAGGGATCAGGCATCAATCCTCTAAGGACGCTGAGAGTCCTGCGATCATGTTGGTGGCGCGGCGATTGATGCGCATAAGTGTACGGAGCAGTATATGGTCTTGAGTTCCAGACTCTGTTGGATTGATGCTTGAACTGGCGATTGCAACATCCAACACTTCACAATGAATTTGATTTGACAGGATGGATGTGGCTGGTGCTCTACCATCTGCGCCACATTCTGTTCAGCTCACCAACATGATATCACCAACATCTTTGCGATCATCTACGAAGAAATTCAATGGCTGATCTGGTCTGTAAGGCATTGTTGCGAAAACACAATGGAATTAGCAGTAGAGCAGGGGAACAGAGGTTGCCTGGAATTACATCACTATCCGCAAGGGAACAGCCACTCGTCTGCAGGAACCCTTGTAAGTTGTCTAGCCGCAGGACCTGCATCAGGAGGCTCTTTAGGGAAGAAACAGGGCCAAACCTCGATATCTTTGTTCGATTCGGAAATCTGTACGAAATTTGTTGCAGCATTTTTTCGTCATCTGCCTCTAGTCACTATTCATATTCATTGCTTTCTTCGCTTAGTCTTGATGTTTTCAACCTGTTCGGCTGACTCCAACTGCGCCCCTGTGACCTGACCTAAACCAGCCACACCTCATTGTCTCTCTTTACGAGGGTTTACCAGGAACCCTCAAAACTGCTTGACGAGGCTACGGTCGATGGCCACGAATTGTGAGCGACTTGGAAAACAGTCATCGAATAGACTCGCCTTAGGCTGCAGCCGTAGACTAGCCCGCATATGTGCCTGGAAGACTCCAAGGGTTCTTCCGCCGCATGATCTACCCTGCTCTTACAAGTTTTCGTCATTTGTGGATGAAAATGCTTATATGTATCTCAGTCCTCAGGCTTCAAGACGCCCGATGTTTCTCATCTCTCCGTAGAACAATAAAAGGAGCCGCTTGTCTGTGTCTTCATGTTCAATAAACCCGAGGATCCTTTGTTGGTTCTCCTTACATTTTCTCTCTTCCTTTGATTATCAGGTGCTTTGAACTCATGACTCCGGCCACATGTCTTTCATCGATGACAATGCCGTTTCGCATCTTCGCCTGTCTTGCAACTGAAAATAGCAAAGTGCTTATCGTCTTTGTCTGTTACAAGAATGTGCAACTTTTGTTCATTGTTAGCCCTTCCTTCGAGCAAGATACTCGCTCGATACGGTCATAGCATTTGGAGCGCATATCTGATCCTATATATCAAGGCTCAACATCATTCTGGGTTGACAATTCGCCCGAGAACTTATCAAATACCCATTTCTCATCACAAGGACTTTGGGGGCCCTTCAACTCAATACTGCGGCGGAGGGTAGAAGGAATGTGCTTGATAGAGAAGTACACTGACGTATATCCAATGGAAATTCGAACGAGGAAAGTGATCCACAGATGCTTGTTCAGCGACGGCAGGGGAACTTGCGACCGCGCTCGAGTGTATGATCGCGGAGAATTCTACCACGTTAGACAGGCCCAGCCGAGCGGTCCCAGAAGAATGGCTTCTCCGAGGATCAGAACCATCGCGCCCAGGGACCTCAGTGAGACAAGGTGGCAGGAGGAACATAGGCATCCTTCGCCGGCGGGGAGATCATCACAAGCTCGAAGCCGGTCATTTTCGTTCCGAATCCCGATTTTCAGAAGGTCTTCCGAGCCAAGTGACAGAGAGACGTTACACGTGCTCCGCGGCCGTCAGGGATCACCTCGTCCCATTGTTGTCGACTTCCCGGAGGTCGAGGAGCGGACACCGCGCAACGAGCGGCCAGATTCGGCCCGAATCCGATGCATTTCACCACGAACAGGAAGAACTCCGATCTCGATCGACAGGGAGCAAGCAAATGACGCCGTTGAAATACCCCGCCAGGCTCGATCACGACACCCGTCGCAAGAGCAACGACCTCCCCGGGAACGAACACCTGTTATTGAACGTGAGCCGGTGCAACGGAGCCCACGCCGAGGGCTAAACTGTGTAGTTGACATTCACAATGACCCGGCTGCATCGCAAGACAGAGAGCGCAGGAGTGCAGAAACTCGGCAAGTTCGTTTCTCCAGCGACGTTGAATATGAAACGAACGTAAACAGCATCAGGGCGCGTAACCGTTCTGCTGCATTCCATCAAGGAGAATCTATCGACGCAAGAGCGCCAACTCATCGAGCCTATGGACGCAGCAACGGTTTTGCAAGAGACGGCGATAACACGAGCCACGGGGCGAGCCATTCGAGAGATAGCAGTCCACATCCACTAGTTCATTCTCCTTATCCCGGAAGGGTGAGGCAGCGGCATCAGGAGACCAACCGCCACCGTCCGCGAATCATCCAAGACGGTACACGTATCATCTCAGAAGCAGGCGAGCGCATTTTAGCAGAGGGCCGGGAACGCCACCAACGCCGGAATCCAATGCGTGATGTCGAGTTGCGCACTCATCGAAGAACATCTAACGGTAGATCTGGTCGTTTGCGATTCTTCCATCCGGGCGAGGAAAGTAAAGACGATCGGCGTCATAACGAGCGCTGGTTCTGAGAGGAGAGCATTGAGCACCCTGACTGTAAGAGTCGCAGGCAAACCATTTCCAGTTTTGAGTTTCCGATTGGTGAGAAGAAAGGTTGAGCGTTACTTAGAAGGCGTCTCGTGCACCATAGAAGCTTTTCCTAACCATGTTCATATACATGATAGATGATGCCAACGTTGAAATGACATAGAGATTTGCAATCTCTTTGCGAAATTCTCTCAAAGCAAATCACTTGCTGAGCGATCAACTGGTAATCGGTGAAGCTGATAATGAGGTAGTCCGTAGATAGGTAAACAAAGGATTATTACCCCGACTTGCAAGCCCCACACGGCCTTTCATCATACATGCATGCATATGTCGTATATGGTTATTATAAAATCACTATTCACAAAAGCCACTTAAAACGTTTCTGGGAAGCCATATGCCTAAATGATTGTTGGGATCGTGGACTGTGGATGAGCTGGCACGGGGAAAAGCTGGCACGGGGCAAAGCCGGGCGAAATAATGTCCGATGGTTTCATTCCATCCTGAGTTTGGGCTGCTGACCTTTCTGACTATTGACCATCTCCTTTTTCTCTAGTCAACCTTTATCAGAAAGACCATGTCACAGAGATGATGATCTTTATAATGTGATACTAATCGGTAGCGAGCTTTCCTTCATTTATCTTTAGTCTCCACCCTGCCTCGGCATCCTCCGTCCCCTTTACATCATCTGTGCAGTCAAAGACATACTAATTTTTTTCCCCCAGTGAGTAGCTCTGGTACACTGACCATTCTTAAGTCGAATACTGACTGTCCGGTTTTTTAAGGCTTCTGACTCTACGGTCGCGCCTTTTGCCATTTATCCAACGACCTTGTCGATGTGTCGGTCAACATAGTGCTTTTGCGGGCAAGCGTTACTACCTCCTCGTGCCGTGATAGTCATATGCGTTTGTTCTCCAGCAAGTTGACCTTTCACCGCTGTTAACTGTTCGTCCTACGGTCAGACGCTATAAGGCTAGACTTAATCCGACTATTGCACGCCGGGCTCGGTCCCACAATGGTACTCTTACCAGAGGCGCTCATAATCACCTGCAGCTTTCAGGGTTGTCTCCAGAATCGCCACCCTCACTCTGTCAACTGACTGTAGCTGCCATAATGAACGGATGTCACACCCATGGTGAGGGAGCTCAAGTGTCTCCTGACTCAAATGCGCAAACGCACTCGAATTTGTCGAAGGGAGAAGGTGAGATGGGGTTCGGTCATGCTGGCGAAGCCTTCGACATCTTGCCGGCTACGGCTCTCGAGCTACTGTGCGTCAATGTCGAATTCCTCGCCAGGCCCAGTGTTGGCAAAGTCGTCGAGCCTGTTCTGGCTGCGGGCTCCGCGCCAGCCGCCATGACACGCAGCGACAGCTTATCCAGCGGAGAAGCCACGCCTACCAGGATCATCGAACTACACTGCTCTCCAATCGGTCATGAAGAGAGTGCTCGGGATCGCATTCAGCAGAGCATGTTGTCCAAGAGGTTCCTCTCGAAGAGAGAACCACCTATCAGCCTGCGCGACTACTTACTTCGACTTCATCGGTATTGCCCGATGTCTACAGCTGTGTACCTCGCTACAAGCATCTACATCACAAGATTAGCCACGGTGGACAGAGTGATATCTGTGCATGGCAAAAATATGCACCGTCTGGTGCTAGCTGGCCTTCGAGTGGCCATGAAAGCGCTCGAAGACCTCAGCTATCCCCACAGCCGTGTTGCCAAGGTTGGGGAGTGAGCGAGCGGGAGCTCTCCAGGCTAGAAATCAGCTTTTGTTTTCTGACGGACTTCGAGCTACGGGTTGATGCTCAGATGTTGGCTGATCAAGCACAATCTCTTCGAAGCAGCATGGATCTGGTTCTCGCAGAGATGGCTTAGCCGAGTTCGGCATTTTCCCTTCATCGTTAGGACACCTTATGCCATGAATGAGCTAGGGGCTTTCTTGGAGCTCCCTGGCTAGGAATTTGGAACGTTCGAAAACTTGTTATAGACTTGCGTACTGAGGAACGACGCCAGTGACCACCCAATGGCTTGTTCTTCGCCTCTCGACAGCTTCCTCGTCGTCTTCATTATCATCTTCTCCATACTCTTGTGCTTTCTTCTTCGGTGAAGATAAATCTCATCAGAATAATTAGAAAGAAAAAAAAAAAAATTTTTGAAATCTCTTCACCGCAATGTGGCTGCCTAAATGACCTTTCCAGGTGAATAATCGCTTGTCAGGCTGTGGCACACGACATAGCAGATTGACGTTATTTGTAGAAAGGAACAAAAAGCAAGAGGGATAGTACGAGTATAAATTTTGACTCAATCAAAGATAAAATATCTCACCCTTGGAAACGACCTAAAAGCTATTTAGAATAAGAGAAGAGATTGTCCAAGTTGATGTATAAATCAATATCGTTAGCGTCCGTAGCGCTGTCGCGCGGGACTTACTCCCCGATCAGCGCATCCCCGTATTTTTGTGCATTTCCTCCATCCGTTCTTTTCCCCCTCCCCTATCTTTCCTCCCAGACCTCCATAGATTACTATCTTGGAGATTATTGATGAAGTTTTATGGGATCACTTTATAAATATCGCGATGTACCTATAGCCCGAAGTCTGCGGTCGTCATCTCCGAACGCTTCACGCTGTACCGTCTCGCTACCAGCGTCCTTTCGTTCCTCGAAGTCTGACCGAGTTAAATTGCCCTCTAACCAAACGGCGCCTCAATAACCGCGACAGGAATGTCTTCCGGAACTCCTTCTACGGAACCGCAAAGTAGCGGCAGCTCTGCAGGCATGAGCACGAGCCCTACGTCTATACCCGCGGGCAAAGGCACAACAACACCTCCGAAGGTCACTCAACAAGATGTCAGTGTTGAACTGAAGAATATGCGGCCTGATCGTAGCCCTCCCAAGGGCTCGATACCTCTGGGGGAAGACATCATGCAGATCGCTCGTATCGGAGAAATCGGGCCCATGCAGAGGTTGTTTGACGAGAAGAAGTTTACTGCCAATTACCAAGATGAGGAAGGGATTACTCCGCTTCATGTGAGTGCAAATTCACCGTTTCTGCTTAATTCGGTCGGCCATTACACTCGGACTTGTACTAATGGCTTCGTCTGGGATCACAGTGGGCCGCGATCAATAATCAATACGCCATGTGCAAGTTCCTGCTGGACAATGGTGCCGACGTTAACGCCAAAGGCGGTGATTCTGTAGCAACACCGGCCATGTGGGCCGCTCAGCGCTGTCACTATTATATAGTTCACCTCCTCCTCCAGCACGGCGCCGATCCTCTTTTGACCGACGTTCAAGGTTACAACATTCTACATCTGGCCACCATTGATGGGAATGCGTTCTTGCTGGTACTTCTCTTACACCAGGAGATACCAGTGGATGCGATAGATCAGCAGGGTCATACGGGATTGATGTGGGCGGCGTATAAGGGATATCCTGCCTGCGTGGATCTGTTCCTGCGCTGGGGCGCCAATGTGAATGCCATCGACGACGGCGGGCTGACCCCCTTACACTGGGCATTGGTCAAAGGGTCATTGCCATGTGTGCAGAAGCTCATCGAGTATGGTGCGGATAGGTTCGCGAAAACCAGAGATGGCAAGTCACCGGCCACCGTGGCCGGTGAGATGAACACGACGCGGGTCTGGTATCGTGCGCTGGATGAGTGCGGTTACGACGTTGATGGAAACACCAAGGTTCTGCCGATGGGGCTCACGTCTTGGGTGCGGAATAAGAGCGTGATGTCAAAGTTCTTCCTTTTGTGGCCATTCCTGATGGTTTATGCCGCTGTCTACATCCTCAGCCACATGGTCATCTACGCTGCTATACCTATAATGCTTGTAGCGACATTTGGGCTGCAATGGGTCGCGCAAAAGGCGGCAAGTCAAGCCCCGTCGGAATACAGGGTGCTTCAGAAAACGGTATGTTCGTCTTGTCGCTGGTTTCCTGCGCCCGGGTTCTGATTTGGTCAATTCCTGCGTGATCGCTGCTGACGTGTAACCAGCCATATCTGTCAGGTGTTTTTGCAGGAACCTTGTTCTGGGTTGGTGTCACATATATCTTCAGCGTGTTGCCTGGTAGGTATACTTCACTTTATTACTGCTCCGTACTAACCGTTTACGCCCTTAGCAACCTATTCCACGTCGCCAATTCTGAATATATTGTTCGCGGTGTTCTATTGCCTCACAACATATTTCTACATCTACTCGATGATTGAAGACCCCGGCTTTGTTCCGAAGACAGGTAGTCGAAACCAGCAAAGAGCCGTGATAAACGAGCTGTTTGAGCAGTGGAAGTTTGACGAGGAGAACTTCTGTGTATTTTGCATGGTTCGCAAGCCGCTGAGAAGCAAGCACTGCAAACGCTGTTCGCGCTGCGTTGCAAAGCATGACCAGTAAGTCCCACCCACGTGCACGATTACTCCTAGTCATGTAAGCCTAACTTAAAGCGCAGCCATTGTCCCTGGATTGACAATTGCGTGGGAGCAAATAATCTGCGCCATTTCGTTTTGTACATTATCTGCCTGGAAATCGGGATCATTCTGTTTCTGCAGCTGACATATAAGTGTAAGTATCAGCTTTGTACCCCGGGACGAAGGCTTGGATTCCGGCTAACCAGGATCAATAGACATCAACATTCTACCTACACCTGTGGAACCTGCATGCAACATCATCAATGAAGAACTTTGTGGGTTTGTGCTCCGGGATCCGTTCACCCTTGTTCTGGACTTGTGGATCGCCATCCAGCTGGTCTGGGTTACTATGCTCTGTGCTGTTCAACTCGTCCAAATTTCTCGGAATCAGACGACATACGAGAACATGAGGGGCCATTCGATAGATCGAAGCTACCCCAGCTCTCGTGCCTTTGCCTCGGCCATCACTGCGGGGACGACGTCGCTCGAGGCCGCTGGCCTGTCAGCAGCGGGGCAAGGTCCGAACCCGCGCTCGCAAGGGGCCATTCGCATCGGGGACGGAGACATGGGTGCTTACAGCAGTGGTCATCTCTGCTCGGCATTGACACGTTTTTCGCCACTGCCCGTGACGGGCTGAGAGACGGTCCCCGTGCTGATCGGCCTAAGAACCCGTTTTCCCGCGGTATCGTCACCAACTGCCGCGACTTCTGGTGCGATCCTGCTCCGTACTTTGGCAAGCGGGAGCCAGGCACTGCGATGCTCGGCGGGGAAATCGTCAACTATAACCAAATGTACGAGGCCCCGATGCGCATGTACAGTGGTGGCGGGTACCGGAGCGTCGCACATGACGATGCCGAGCAGAACGTCTGATCTCGTTACTACTTTGCTTTTGACTTCTTGTATGACTTTAGAGTCTCCGACAGCGGTTTATGAATGTCCGACGAAGCTCTGCATTTTCATGTCTGACGGAGTCTGATGATTATTCGTGGTATAACTTGCTCTTTTCACCTGTAATTATACTTTGCATAGAGGCCTTGCTTCAGTGGATGTTGACTCGATGAATGTGCGCTGGGTTGCTCTGGACATGCACTCGCCTTAATAATGAATCACAGATTGGATTAGATGACTAGTGCTCCTCTGTAGAGTTCAATTGTCTGCATAGTTAGACAGCATCGCTTCCACTGACATTGTGGTGATGCAACAAAGACTGAGTTCATGGTTGTATATGATATGTAGGACAAGAGTACAGTGCACAGGGCATCTCATCTCGGGTCATTCCCCAATGCAGCCCAATTGCCACGAGTCAGCTCGGGTCCTACACTAATCCTACATCCTCTTTTGGACGACTATAAAATCCAAAACGACACAAATACTAGCTCATTCGTGAAGAGATACTTCCGGAAACCGGAAACCTGACGTATAATTCCCTGTTACGAACCGTAGGGGAAACTCTCCTTCGCCATTTTCCGGCGGCACGACTGGAAACCGAGGTAGCAGTGGCACAGGGCTGAAGCCTAAATCCCTCAGCGTTATCAATCTCATCAGATAATTTTAACATGGATAGTCGGTCAGATTCCCTGAGCCCTGACGCCCCCTCCACCATCCATCGGATCCTTTATCGGATTCTAGTGCAATTCTAACTAGTCTTGCGCATACTCACTCTCTATGAGAAAAGTACGCAAATGCGATACTACTCTCTCCTCTTTCTCCTGCAACTTAATGTACCGTACCTCCTTTTCTCGTCCATAAGCTACCACCCAGAGATCCGATGTCGCTGGGATGTTTGCAGTCCACTTTCTGGTTTCGTGCAAAACAGTGGAGACGCTAAGATCTTATCTCGGCGGACGGGATGAATTGAAATTTTCCCGCTCGTTCTGACCTGACTGTTTTTATTGAAAGGGGAAATACAATTTCTCCTCGATGAGTGGGCGGAACGTAAGGTATTTCCTACTTTATTTCTTCCATGCTGGTTGTACAGTACAGGTACAAATGTTAGACACAGATGTGGGTCGAAGGATTATTACCAGATGCTTAAGCATGGTCAGGCAACTAACTGTCTGTCAGGGGATGGATGAGGCAGACTCGGAACGATCACTTCCTAGTCTAGCAGACTTATTCTGCAGAGACCGACTGTGGACTGCGGAAACATCCCTGGAAAAGAAAGTCGATGACTACCCAGTAAGCCAGTCATATCCGCGCAGGTGGGTGAGACCGTGATAATGAGTAAATCACGATCATCGTGGCCATCCCAGCTGGGTAGGAATCGCCGAGGATAAACGTAGCGTAGCGCAGATAGCGGACTTGGAGCAGGTGGTCTGATGGTCCTTGTCGCGGCTAGAAGAATATGCCGCACAAAAGTGTACGGGCCACAACAGGCACTAATTTCTCTGGCTACGTACTGGCAAGTGTCTGGGCAGTGGAGCACCAAAGACAAAGACGCAAAGAGGGGCTTCTCAAGGTTATCAATCAACGACCTAATTTCCTATTTCCTAATCAATCAGTAACTAGTTCGACGTAGTAACGCCTCACCACGTCGTGTCTTTGGCAATTAAATTAGCCGTCTGCACTCTGGAACCTACATCCAAGAGTGAAACAATGAACTTGTTTGTGCAAACTCGAGGCCCTGCATAGTCCCTAGTCCCTTATCCAGATACGCAGACCCGATCTACGAGCCATGTCTTCTACCCAAACGCCTAGTCTACACTCTGCTAAAGCACCCATCCTCAACTCCTGACGCGGTAAGCGATGGAGACTGCCGATTCCACGTACACTGACTTGACCGGTTACCTAATACGCTTCTTAGTTCTCGAGCTTACAGGCCAATGCCCACAGCCCACAGCCTCATGAGTAAGTGGGGTCTGGCTTGCTGTGATCAATCAGCGGGGGCCCGGCCTCGAAGAGCAAAAAGCAAAGAGACCTCGAGTTGGAGTTCCGACTGTGTAACCTGTTTATACGAGATCTTTGCATTTCACATCTAGCTTACAAGTTACAGCAGTCCCACTACCTCTTGTGTGAATGAAATTATTCAGGTTTTCAAGCGGTGAGAAGTGAGAAGCGAGTAGTCTGACACTACGAGTCGGAAATGATCAACGAAAAAAAAACACTTGGCCCAAGCCAGCCACCGTTCCACGGGCAAGAAACCATCGGCCAATGGGCGGGCCCATTGGCACACAACCGTGGGATGGCGCCATCAGATAACGCGTGAAAATTTTTATCTGATCAGATTATCGGGCGGGATTCCATGATTCCTTCGGTCATCGCTGGTAGTAAGGTACACATAAGGAATTCCTCTCTACCTTACTCCGTATAATTACGTAGCTCCGTTTCGGACTTGCAGTTGCACTATGACGTCGAATCGTATTTTTCAAAATTGGTTTGATGAAGGTTCTGATCATTTTCTGATAGTACATACGTAAATCATATGTATTCCGACATCTCTATGAAAACATTACAATGCTGAATGAACCAGAACTCTTGACTGCGCCAGAATAGTGTATATGATGGTCATAATCACAATTGAAAGATCAATAAAAATTCACGACATGAGTACTCCGTCAATGTCGGAGAGTAGGGTCGGATATAGTGTCCTCAAGTTTCCCTCGTTTCTTCTCCGTCTTCCGGAATTCGTTTTCGTGTTGTCAGAGAAATGACCTTGGCATTCGCTTAGCGCAACACCTTCGAACAGTAACTATGCAATTCGGCTTTTCCTCCACTTTTTCGGCCCCCTTACAGCATGGCCCGTAGCCGGTGGTCCTGCACCGCCGCTCCTTCCAGCTGCTCTCCGAAAATCGATTGGACCATCTCGCCACCACGAACAGCAAGTACCGACAGCAAACTGTCACTAAGGCCATGCGTCCGCTCATTGCAACCTTGAAGCCAGATGCCGGCCTGTGAGCTGACCTTGCTCGGGTCCATCTCAACCCGGTAATCTCGGCGGGGGTTCCACTGATCCTGTCCCGTAGGTCGCAGGTGCTGAACCTTGCTCAGGAGTCGCTCATGCGCGTTGCGATAATAGCCCGTAGCCACCATGAGAGCGTCTACTTCCAGCGTTTCTTTGACATCGTTTGCTGCGCCTTCCGACCCGGGCTTGGACGACTTGAGGTGGATGCGCATCCGACTCTCAGGGCCGTGGTGCTCAACCCGTGTGATCTTGCGTTCTGGCAGGATGCGGTGCTGCCACTGAGTTTCGTCGGGGTTCTTCACTCTCTGCAGGTACATGTCGTTATAGATCTCCTCAATCAATTCCAGGCGCACAACACTGTAGTTGGTAGCCTTGTCGGCGGCCAGAGAGCGCTGGCGTTCTGCGGCAGATTGGCTGTAAAACTTGTCGACTCGTTCGGGATTGAAGATCTCATTCACACTAGACATATGTCAGTAAATGCAAAAGCAGGATATGCATTACTTGATTCTCTGCTCACAAAGGCGAGTCGTCACTGGGCCGCATTGCAGAATCCCGCATAATTAGCGTTGTTCGTGAGTTGGGATATCTCTTCTGAAGGTCATGGAAAATCTCCGCAGCACTCTGGCCACTTCCCAGAACGGCAATGTTGTAAGGCTTCGATTTATCCTTCAAAAGGGCCGGCAGCGTTGTGCAGTACTTGGACGAGTGCATGATCCGGGGATCCTGCGGCAATCCAGGAGGCATCTTCGCGGTGCCTCCGATAGCAACAACCACCTTGCGGGCCTTCCTGGCACTGATCTCGCCCGTCTCCACGTTGCGCGACCGAACAGTGAAGAATTCGACCACCGAGCTGCTGGGGTCAGACTTTCCGGGAATCACTTCGACTACCACTTCCCCATAAGCCACCACATCTGAAAATTGTTGCGCACACCAACGCATGTAATCCTCGAACTCCAACCGAGCGGGCAGGAAGGTGCTGAGGTTAGTGAAGTGAATCAGACGGCCCTTCTGCTGGAGGTAGTTGAGGAAGGTAAAACTGCTGCGGGGGTCCCGGAGAGTCGCCAGGTCCTTGATGAAGGAGATCTGCATCTTGGAACCAGGGACCAGCATGCCTGAGTGCCATGCAAATTGCTTCTGGCGCTCCAGGAAGCAGATCTTAGGCTGTGCATGAATATTGGAAGCGGACTTGTTCAATCGAGGGTCCAG